CCATGGGAGAATGTGCCTCTGGCCTGAAAACTTGTATAAAAGAAAGTCCTTTTATGTGCATTAAACAGACCTGCTTGTCCCTTTCTTGAAGCCTTGGCTCATGCTCGGAGGATGGGATAACTACATGCCGGGGATTGCTATAATCACACTATACTCCCAAGGGTAAGCACTTGTAAGAGCTGTTCTTGTTCCTGCTACACTCTCTGGAGGAAGAGAGGTCTGCCCACTGGAAACTGGATCCTGGCCTTGGGTCGATAGTGTGTGAAGGACGGCGAGACCCTGGCGCAGCTGCATCGTTGGAAGCGGGGTATGCAGTGCTGATGGTGTCGGTTGGAGTGCTTGGAGTCCTCATGAAGCACTAGGAGCATCGATTGGCAGAGGTACTCGGTCGGAGTGCCAGCGTTCCGTCACAGGCTCAATCAGGTCACTGGAGATAATGCCCTTCTTCTGAGGTGGAGTCTAGCACTACAGCCCTACGACTTCACCATACATTACCGTCTTGGCAAACAGAACGGAAACACAGATGGACTATCCCACCAGACTGAGCTGGCAGGATAAGCTGTTTCTTGTGTGTCTGGACAGCCCAAAGTTGACCCGAAAAGGGTACAAGCGTGTCTGCCGGAGCTGTGAGCAAGGGAGGAGCAGTGTGAAGGAATACCCCATCACTTTAGCTCCTTTCGGCTGTTTGGATTAGTGATAGGAATCGGCCGATTATTGGTCTGGCCGATATTATCAGCCGATATTCGGCAATAAAGATACCGATATTGCCAATTAGGACCGCCGGGCCCATGACAAGCCCGCAGATCCTGGGGGGCCCAGCAAGCTCTTACTTACCTTCCCAGTCGCTCACTTAAGCTCCCATGTCTAAATCTCACGAGTCCTGTGGCCGTCAGAGCATTGCCACGGGTTACCATGGCAATGCACCGCAAGGCACGCAGGCCGCGAGAGTTAGACAGGGGAGCTGAAGGGAGCTGCTGGGAAGGTAAGTAAGAGCTTGCTGCAGGCTCCCACTGCACAGTCCATGCCACCGGACCACCAGGGAATGCCATATATCACCTCCCTGGAAGGTAACAAGCGGGAGGGGGGACAAAAAAAAAATAATTATTTTTTTTTTTCTAAAGTTTAAAATGTTAATGACCCCCCATTTTACACACAATACATACCTACACAAACACACACACTACACAATTCATTATATACACACACTACACAAAAATACTCTGCATAATATACACACACTACACAAACGCACACACTTTGCATTATATATACACACTACACAAACACACACACACACACACACACTCCCTGCCTTCATTATATACACACACTAAACAAACGCTGTGATGAGACCAATCTCGCCACTGTGCATTGGAGGAGCCTGGTTGCCTGCCTGCTGCCTTTTGACTATGGACCGGCATTTAAATACCCTATTTTCCTATGCAGAAAGGTCTATTCATGTTTTGTGCCCTGGCGTTCGGTAGATTCTCGGATTTACTGAATGAACTCATATAACCCAGATAGCTATGCCATGGAGCCTATTTGTGTAATAAAAGACTTTGGCTCCATGACGATTGAACTGTATGTGTGTGGTCTGAGCGCCATTCAGTATTAATGTGCACTCAGACCTATGCTATCTGGGGATATGTTGCATGCCTGTATTTCTGTCATAACCTTGTGTATTTTATTGTATTTTACTGTCTTTTTGCTGCCATGTGTTCAATGGAGTTTTGCCTCTGTTTTTGGAGATAATTTGATTACTTCCCAATTATCTCCAGGATAGACTGGTGGAACTGGTTTTGGGCAGAAAAGCCATGCTTCCTGTGGTCACAAAGGATTGCCAGCCTCTATCTTTTGAACCACTGGACCAATTTGTATGATTTTGACATATGTTTGTATTTGGAGTATGCTGATTCTGAAAATTTAAGTTATGTGAATGTGATGCATACTTTTCAAGTTATGAATAATGTGGAAAAATTGTATTTCTCTGCTTTTCTAATTAAATTACCCATTGTGTAAGGTAATTGTATCACAGGCAGAGGGGAGGTTTTTGTGTGGGAGTGTCTGAGTGTATTGTATGTGTTTATTGGTTGTGTTCCAAAACCTTGTGGGTGGTACTAATGTGTAAGAATGTGTAAATAAGAACAATAAACCCACAGCTCTGTCTGTTCACTGCTTGACCCTCAACACGGAGCTTTGTCTCGTTTTTGGGGGGATTTATTGTATGCTGTTCCAGTTTGACTGCTAGGAGTGTAAACCTATTCGTATGGTTTTTCCTATTTGGCTGTTTACAGCATTCATATGGTTTCCTGTTCGGTGGATTGGTGTTCTGCAGTAGCTGTGCCTGTGTCTCTGGAAGGGAAGATCTACTAAATGGCGGTTTAACCCTTTTATGCTGAGGGTGCCGTTACAAACGCGCACACACTACACACACACTGTATTCATTACATACACACACTACACAAATGCACACACACACACACACACACTCTGCATTCATTATATACACACACTACACAAATGCACACACACACACTCTGCATTCATTATACACACACACACTGGAACTCAACGCCGGATCGCGATGTCGCCTCAGCCCGGTCAAACTTCATTTGCCAATTTCTAGGGCTAGGTACATCGTATTCGGGTACTGGACATTTTGCTTGAGGGAAAGACTTATCTGATGATGTATGATTTATGTGTCTAGGTTATGTTTAGGTTATGTTTTTTTATTGTTTTATTATTCGGCAGCCCTTCCAGATTCCAAAGCAGTAACCCATTGTTCTTGTGGCCCCTTGCTGATGTGGTGCCTATATAAACATGCCTTGGTGACAATAAAGTGTGTTACTCTACCCTACACTAAATTTAGTCTATTGCAGGCATAGGTAACCTTCAGCACGTCAGATGTTTTGGACTACACCTCCCATGATGCTTTGCCAGCATTATGGGTGTAAGAGCATTATGGGAGATGTAGTCCAAAACATTACCACATTAATATCCGAATGGCAAAATTCAAGCCCAAGAATGCATGTTCTCCTGTGGCACTTCAGAAGAATCATGGGAAGATGGACTTGCCCGCACCCTTAAAGGACAACTGCCACCTAAAATGAAGTTTAGCTTATTACAATAATTTTCATTACTAACAAAACAAACATAGAAACATAGAAAAAAAGAATGTGACGGCAGATGAGAACCATTCGGCCCATCTAGTCTGCCCAATTTTCTAAATACTTTCATTAGTCCCTGGCCTTATCTTATAGTTAGGGTAGCCCTATGCCTCTCCCACGCATGCTTAACCCCTTAAGGACACATGACATGTGTGACATATCATGATTCCCTTTTATTCAAAAAGTTTGGTCCTTAAGGGGTTAAACTCCTTTACTGTGTTAACCTCCACCACTTCAGCTGGAAAGCTATTCCATGCATCCCTACCCTCCCAGTAAAGTAATACTTCCTGATATTATTTTTAAACCTTTGCCCCTCTAATTTAAGACTATGTCTTCTTGTTGTGGTAGTTTTTCTTCTTTTATATAGGGTCTCCCCCTTTATTGTGTTGATTCCCTTTATGTATTTAAATGTTTCTATCATATCCCCCCCTGTCTCGTCTTTCCTCCAAGCTATACATGTTAAGATCCTTTAACCTTTCCTGGTAAGTTTTATACTGCAATCCATGAACCAGTTTAGTTGCCCTTCTCTGAACTCTCTCTAAAGTATCAATATCCTTCTGAAGATACGGTCTCCAGTACTGTGTACAATACTCCAAGTGAGGTCTCACCAGTGTTCTGTACAATGGCATGAGCACTTCCCTCTTTCTACTGCTGATACCTCTCCCTATACAACCAAGCATTCTGTTAGCATTTCCTGCTGCTCTGTTACATTGTCTGCCTACCTTTAAATCATCTGAAATAATCACCCATAAATCCCTTTCCTCATATGTTGAGGTAAGGACTCTATCAAATATTCTGTACTCTGCCCTTGGGTTTTTATGTCCAAGATGCATTATCTTGCACTTATCCACATTAAATGTCAGTTGCCACAACTCTGACCATTTTCTAGTTTACCTAAATCATTTGTCATTTGGCTTATCCCTCCTGGAACATCAACCCTGTTACATATCTTAGTATCATCAGCAAAAAGACATACCTTACCATCAAGTCCTTCTGCAATATCACTAATGAAAATATTAAAGAGAATGGGTCCAAGTACATATCCTTAGGTACCCAACTGGTGACAAGCCCAAGCTTCGAATATACTCCACTGACTACAACCCTCTGTTGCCTGTCACTCAGCCACTGCCTTACCCATTCAACAATATTGGAATCCAAACTTAAAGACTGCAGTTTATTGATAAGCCTTCTATGCTTTATTTTTTACTCCTGTGTATTTAAAAGATTAGTAAAAATACTTACCTCCCTCATCCTCTATTTTTCCAAGGCCATGTAGGTCCATAGAGCATCCTGTCTAGATCTCTATTTTCTACCTCATGAGTACTGTCTTCCATAGTAACGTAGTTTTTGTGGCGGGACTGCCTAAACTGTGAATTGCCTTGTTTTATATGAGTGGATGTGCCCTCCTAGAATGTTTCCCCTCTTTCATATTCCTCTATCTGTAATTTTCACAATAAAATCCTGCTATTATGGTTACCTCCAGGCTAGCTGGAAGCTGGACTGCTTGGATAGTCTGGTTCCCCGGTGTAGAGAGAGAGAAGAGCCGCTCCAGTCAGTATACCACAAGAATCCTGTAAATGTAGAATAATCCCACTAGCTATGGTACAGATAGGATACCCTTTTACCCACAAAACGAATCGAGGCTGCGATTTGAGGGTCAAGAAAGAACTGGCTTTAATGGCACACAGGTATCACTATTTATGCAAAGTCTTAGGTCCAGGGACAGCCCCCTCTGGACCTGATGGGATACAGGGACAATGCAAGCAGTTAACCAATAGAAACACAGTGTATCTTTTGAAATTGTTACTGCCCAGCTTGGAGATAATGAATCCCACAGTTATGACAATGTAATTATCTCCAAACGCCCAAAATCCCACGTTTTCTTGCAACATACAAAACAGTATAAAAATACATAACTTTAGCATTTTAATAGACAATTCGTGTATTCTACCGTTCATTATGTAGCCCAGATCTGAGCGCAACAGATAGTCGAATAGCGCTCAGCAGGGGTACTTAACCTGCGGTTAACCGCAAAACCAACATTCTAATTGGGGCCATATGCCAGGATGTAGGTGGTCCTCGTTCGTGAGTCTTTTGGTAGTTTTAGTTCGGGAAATAGTGCACAAACGGGAATGCCTTGGGACCGTCAATTAGGCTGTGGTTAACCGCAGACCGCAGCTACCTTGGCGATTAATTAGAGACATGCTCCGCTCGTAGGGTGGTTGGCTGTTAGGGTATTACAAAGGTGACAAGGGTTAAGTGGCGGCACATGCCAGGGGCCGGGTGATCCGTTGTTCATATACATGAATGGGTATGGGAAATCGGTTCGGGGATTAGGTTACACAGTTCTGTGTGGAAACAGAAAAGAGCAATATTGTAACAGTCTTTAGAGCTTTTGTAACACCTGCAATATACCTTTTGACTGGGGACCACCCCAGCATTTCATTTAGAACATTCACACCTTGCTAACAAGATGTGTAAACCGCAGAGGAACGAGTGGCGCGTACTTCCGCTGGGTGGCCGCTGTTCGTATCACCGAACGCCCATCAGTGGGAGCATTCATCTCCCGAACTGGCCTGCGTACACTGTCTTCGATGCCGGTGTTAGGGATCATCCTACCTGCTCCCCGATGGAGCTATAATCACTCATCCCTTTTTCCTTTGCTTTCCAATGGAGCTATAATCCATCATCCCTTTCCCTTACCTGAGATCTACAAAGCTACACTTGTGGCTGCTCAGGAGAGCACTCTCGCCGGTGGATACCTGCGTGGGGATATCCACCGGAGAGAGGGAAGCATGCCAGCAGAGAGTCCCTGGGGCTGTGAGTCGGTCTCACGGCAACAGGGTTCCCGCTGGCTGCATGGAAGTTCGTGCCGACCAATGGGAGAGGGAATGCCCATTAAAACTGTATTCGCGCCATTCTCCTGGTTGGTAGGCACGAGTAAAGTACTGACTGGTCACCACGGGGAGCGAGCGACCAATCCGAGAAGGAGTGCATATTCAAATGGGGTTTCACACCCTTCTGTCTGGTTGGGCGGCGATACCCCTCACGTCCCTGGGCGCTGATTGGCGCGAATACGTTTTGCGCCCTATCTTCTGATTGGGCCCCAAAATCCCTATCCTCCCTGAGCACTGATTGGTGCAGCCGAGTTTTGCGCCCTTTCTTCGGATTGGGCTGGCGAACCTCCTTCCTCCCCTGTAACACTGATTGGCGTGATTTGGTTAGCGCCATTTCGGCTGATTCGTTGTTGCTTGGTTTAGGCGCAAAGTTTGAATTCGCCGGACTAAACCAAGCAACACCATGAAACTGATTGTCAATGCTGATATCTCCAGCTCTGTACATCCGATTGCCCTGCTTTATGCAAGGGTTCTAGGTGGGACCCGGCGCTATTCATCCATATAAAATGTAACCCTGTACCCCCTTCCCGTCCCGGGGGGCTGAGCCCCAAAGTTCACCCCCCTTTATGTAATGTGTACTCATGCGTGTCCCTGTGTCCTGTTAGTATCTCCCAGAGCGGGAGATGGTTATCTGTTTCCCAGCCCTCTCCTGGATATGTTTGTGTTGGGTTGGATGGAGACCCCCTGCGGGTGTCTATGCATAAAAGGCTGTGTGCCCAAATAAACATTGTATTCTGAAAATGTGTCCCGTCCAGTTAATGGGGAAATGGGTCTGACCTATCCTAACCAAAGGGGATAACCAGCCAGATTACCCAGGTCCCACTACAGTTTTTATTTTTCGATAATTATGGAAAACATTGTGCTAAGCCAAACATTTAAGTGTTGTCTTTTAAGTGCTGTGAGGATATATTACTCAAGCCAGTAAATAGCAACATTTATTGGTGTTGAGGGAAAGTGGAATTGTCAGTAGCAGAAAACTGTCAGAACTTATCATTCACATGTCATACCCAACTTAGTCATGCTAAAAAAGGATAGTAAATGTATTTATCAAGGAAGCTTTCTCTCACTTTGAAGTATTTAATTGCAATACAACAAATGATACTAAATATATTAAAATATATATAACAGTGTGTGATACTATTACAGTTATAATAATAATAAAAGAAAGGCATACTGCCACATGCAGCGCCGAACTTGGATGTGTCTGAAGTCTTGTTGGAGCTTGACTACCCTACGTTTCTCTCCTACAATGGGACCTTGGAGCTTGTTTGGAGGTTCTAGCAGGGGAGCGCAGCTACTCGTATACCCTGGACCGAAGATCGGTGCTTCTCTACCGGGGATGGCCATCCTCTTCGACCGAGCGCACAGCTTCGGGAGGGACGCACATGGAGCGGTGAGGGAGGAAGGGGACACCCGCCTAGCCAGCCAGATCAGCCGAATCAACCCTAGCGATCAATGGGGTGACAGATGTCGCAGCCAGATCGCCCTCACATCCAACTCACTAAAGAAGCCCGCTCGCTATATATGTCTCCTGTCAGGCTGTCCCTTTAACAATGCAGTGATGAATCGCGATAACAGCTTTACCGGTCCTGCATCACTTCCTTATTACGCAGTCGTGAAAAAAGTTATTGCCGGTGCTCTAGATTTTGTGATTTTTCTTATTTTTTACCTGCAGAATTGCGTTCTGGAGAGTCTTCATTAATATGCATGCTGCTTTCCTCCGATTGGTAAATCCTTAATCCCTCACAGCGCGCGGTCTGCGCCGCCGTACACTGAGCACTGGGCAAATTGACAGCTCGGCACCCGACTGTCCAAGAGTTTGATTGGTTGGATCGGAAAAATCCTCGTGTACGCGGCAGACGTGTGCGTGCTCGTTCCCCTTCTGTGTTAAAGGCGCGGGCGCGATACATGCGGGGTCGCGCATCCGCAGGGATCTAACACACTGCTGTGACCATTGCATCTAAACAATACAGCTTCCATGTGACCTCCCTGCTTAGACACCATGATAGACATATAGAACTCACTTATAAGACATTCCAGTAGGATAAGGTGGTAGGAGATCCTTTTTAGCCTCTGATTACCATTGAGCTGTTTATTTACGTCTTTAAATTGACCCAATTCATTCCTGTGCTGGCTCTGTTGATACTTGTAACCTTTAATTTAACTAACTGATTAATATTGGGCAGTGCAAGGATGCCAGATTTACTATGATTTTTGGGATTAATCTTATTTATAAAGCTATTTTCTTGATTTTATGTAGGGCAGCATATTTCATACATTGTTTAACTGCATGCTATTATTGTATATCAGCATGCAGGCATGATGTGTGTCCAGGAATACATGATGAGTCTGGCCACATTGGCTGTGAATGTGTCTCTATAGAAATTTATCTTTAAATATCTTCATCGATTTGCATATTCATCTATGCTGGGCAGCACCGGGGTCAATTTGAGCTGATACATTTAAAGATAGAGTGCCTGGCCTTATCTTCTGATATATATATATATATATATATATATATATATTAGGGATGCACCGAAATGAAAATTCAGGATGCCCTTGGCCGAAAATGACTTTTTTCCCCAAATGATTTAAAAAAAGTTTATTTTCCTATATTTTTTTAATATTAGACTTTTTTATGAATTTAATCTAATATGAAAAACTTCCCTTCTCTTAGTGGTTCCCCCCTGCTTAATGTTCCTCTTCTCTCCCTCTTTTTTTAGTGTTCTTTCCCCCCTCCTCTCCAGTTCCATAGTGTTCTTTTCTCCCCTCCCCGTCCCAGTGTTTTTTCCCCCATACCATAGTGTTCTTTCTCCCTCTCCTGTCCCATAGTGTTCTTTCCCCCTCTCCTGTCCCATAGTGTTCTTCCTCCCCTGTCCCATAGTGTTCTTCCCCCCCTCCCTGTCCCATAGTGTTCTCCTCCCCCCTGTCTGTCCCAGTGTTCTCCCCCCCTCGCCTGTCCCATAGTGTTCTCCCCCCTCTTTGCCTGTCCCATAGCATTCTCCCTCCCTCGCCTGTCTTATAGTATTCTCCCTCCCTCGCCTGTCTTATAGTATTCTCCCTCCCTCGCCTGTCTTATAGTATTCTCCCTCCCTCGCCTGTCCTATAGTATTCTCCCTCCCCGTCCTATAGTGTCCTTTCACCCTTAAACTATCCCATAGTGTTCTTTCCTACATGTCCCCAAAAAAATCTAAAAAAATAATTTTTTTAAAAAATTTCGGCAAATTTGACCAGTTTTCGGCCAAAACGGGATAGGCCCATTTTCGGCCGAAAATTGAGGTGCACCCCTAATATATATACATATATAATAGAAGCAAATATGTTTGTTTATATACAAAAGATAAGCAGGGCACTTGATCAAGTTATTTTTCCTTCCCTGGATACTTAACTCTGGACAATAAATAAACAAATAAAGGGAGCACTCACGGGCTGACGTTTCAGTCATATGCTGGACTTTTATCAAGACATAATAGCTCAACATGTGACTGAAACGTTGACTTGTTTGCTTTGGCACTGAGTCTGCTTGAATAAAAGCATGATTCACATGAAAAACCACCAGTGAGTGCTCTCTTTATTCATTTGTTTATTCTGTATGTGTGTATATATATAAATATGTATATTGTAGTGGGCCCTGGGTAACCCGGCTGGTTACCCCTGCTAGTAAGGAATGGAGAGACCCATTTCCCCCAGTAACTGGACGGCACACAGGGGTACAACAACAACTTTATTTGCCACAGGCGGCTTTATACTTTCCCCTTGTAAGGGGTGGAACATACATGAAGACAATGTTCCCTCCTAGGGTCCTCCCAATCCCGGGGGTCGCACAACAGAATCGGAACTCCAGTCTCTTTGTCCCTTGTTCCCGCCAGGCCCAGAAAGCCCGCCAAACCGCCATTGTCCCCAAGAGAGTGTCCCCACCAATCTCAGGTATCCTCCCGAACGGTAACTGCCTCAGTTCGTGGGATCCCTGCAAGGGAAGCATCCTCGTTCGGGACACGAATGCTCCCCCTGGCCACTGGCCGTCTATATGAACGGCGGCCACCCAGCATTTATGTTGCAATTTGCCAATGTTCTAATTGCTTGGCGTGAACACTCCAAGGGGCACTGGGGAGGTCCCCGTTTGTGGAAGCAATCCGCGAATGCTCCCCCTGGATGGCGTTCATCTAATGAACGGGCTGGCACCCAGGGTCAGCACGCAACGAGGCTTCCCTTTTGGTTTGTGGTTTTCACACCTCGTTAACTAGGTGCGAACATTCTAACTAGGTGTAAATGTTCCAAACAAACATTCTAAATGGGGTATCGAGGTGGTTCCCGTTCGGGAGGCGAATAGAACATGTTCGTATGGGAACTCCTGAACGGGGAGTAGGTAAAACATAAGAATACACACAATATAGGGGAAACAACAGGGACTGTCACACAGCAATTCACTAGCAGGTAGCGGTCCCGCCACATTTATATACACACACACACACCCCTTGGCGCTGGTTCACCAATTGTCCTTCTTTGCACCACTTTTAGTAGGTACTAAAGACCTACTAGTCTAGACATCACTTTGGCCTTTATCAAAGTCACTGTCACGTATACATCCTCTCCATACACTATGCATAACATAAATCACCTTTCCAGTAGTAGGAGAAGTGCTGCTCGGCGGTCCTATGCCATAAGGCAGGGATTTTGCAACATGCCGGTGGGACACCGGCTGCTGCAGATCCACACTGTTATGTAGACCCATGTCTTTCCACTGTGGTAGCGATGTCGACGTGCGTGTGACGTCACACAGAGGGTCACGCAGACGTTTTGGGGTCAAAGGCCGGGTAAGGGCAATCGGATTCACAAGAGGGATATTTAAACTCACTTATTTTTTCTACTCATTGCCCTGTCGTGGTTTCCCTTTCCTGGTTATCCAAGAGTGTGTTCCTGATCGTGTTTCTTTGGTTATTGACTTTGGCTTTGTTCTGACTTCCCTGAATTCTGGTATCCCTGACTATTGGCTATTCCTTGCAACTGTGTTTCGTTCTGTGTTCCTGACCTCGGCTAGTATTTTGACTATTCTCTGGTACGTTAAGTCTGGCCATTCTATGGTCTGATTAGACTTTATCCTTATTCCTAAGTGTGATACTAATACTGTGTTGGATCAATTGTAATCCTGACAGTCTCAGATCTTTTTTCTTGCCAATTTTTCCTGCTTCCAACACATGAAATTCAAAAACGTTTTGCGTATTTGCTGCTTAATATATCCCAATCTTGACACAGGTGCCATTGTAGCAGTATAATCAATGTTTTTCACCTCAAATGTCAGTGGTTTTAATGTAAACAGTATATATATATATGTATATATATATATATATATTCGTGGTCAGGGAAGAAAGCTGAGTAAGTAAGTAAGTATTAACCATTATATGTACTAAAGTCGGTTGTGGTGTGCCGAAACCGACGTTTGGGCAGGCCTGTAAATAAAGAGGCCCTGCCAAGATGGAATTTGTAATTTGGGGAGTGGTGGGTGGGGTGACCAATCAACGTCAACCAGTTATGGAGGTAGGTTTGGGTTTATATATGCCGGGTTCAACCCGTGCCACAACTCATTTGTGGTCAGGGAAGTAAGGCAGCGTAAGTATTAACCATTATATGTACATTATAAGTCGGTTGTGATGTGCCGAAACCGACGTTTTATCAGGCCTATAAATTAAGAGGGCAAAAAGAGATTTTAACAAATGCAAACTTTAATACATATATAATCGTAAACACCAAACATGTACACAGTTTATTCTTATTCAGCTAACTCTTTAAATGCTTGTCTAAGTTCTTTTTCAGGTTGGGGTATGTATCGCTTGTATGCTGACGACTTCCATCGTCCCAGTCTTTTAATAATGTGTACAGGTACATTTTTTGATTCAAGGCTGCTGTTTCTGCACCTATTTTTAAATGAATGGCCAGTGAAAACCAAGGGATCGGAACCAATTTTTGTAAACAGAGTCCTTGCATATAGAATGAATTTTGATGTTTTTAACGGGTTACCATGTAAGCTCACTAGAGGAGCATTTTTTGCCTAATCTATCAGAGTTAGTCGATACTGGTCAAGTAAATGAACAGGGCACAACTTGTTACCTGTGGGGAATATTTGTATGTCTATAGGTGGTCCCATTTGATTTGTTTTAGACTGTCGTAAGGTTAAAATATAGTGGTCTCCTGTTTAGATCTGCGAATCGTAATATGTTGGATGTGTCTTTTACTTTCTCTACTCTGAGCTTGAAAGTCGTAAGAAACCATAGAAGGCCAGATATATTGCCGCTTTAATGGTGTTGTTCATTTGTATTTTGAAAGGTTTAGTATCTAAGATATCGGACAAGGCTTGGACTCTTTCCCCTTCTATCGGGAGAAGTTTTGTAGGTTTGGGACCTTCTAAACATTGACTGTATGAGCGTCGGGTGTTATCCGCTAGAGCGGCTTGCAAATAGCATTCTCCCGTGAGCCATGAGTATTGCTAGTCCAGGATGAGGTCCTGGAATAAGGGTGGTTTGTTTGGAATTCTCTCTGCTGTGGGGTGAACTTGAAAGAAAACCTGCAAGTTTAAACGAGAGAGGGCATCAGCTGCTGTGTTATGACTGCCTGGCATGTGTATACAATTCAGGTAACAGTGTTGAGTAGCTGCCAAACATGTAAGTCTCTTGACGAGACTCATGATTGTTAGGGAAGAAGACCTACCCTTATTGATTATTTCACAGGCCGCCATAAATGATCCCAGACTTTTGCAGCTTCCACAAAAGGGTACATTTCGAAAAGTGCAGAGGTTCTATTGAAAGATCGCAAAGTTAATGTCTCTATCGACCATATGTCTCTGAACCACCTGTCTCAGAATTTGGCTGCAAATCCTGAGTGGGCTGCAGCATCTGTTCATAACACAGCGGAGTTTTCTAATAAGGGCAGGATTAACATATTTTTCCTGTTCCAGTCTGACAAGAATTGACGCCACATGGTCAAATCTGCCCAAGCCTGTAAGTCCAGTGTAACTGTGCGGTCGTCGTTTGGTAAATTTGGTAACAGACAAAGTAGACATGAAACAAAAGCGCAACCTTGTGGGAATATTTTCATGGCAGAGTTCAGAGAACCCAGGAGAGATGGGAGGTCTTTCCAAGAACTGGTTCCTCTGCTGAGGAACAATTCGACCTCTGCCTTGATTCTCTGAACCTTGTCAGTAGGGAGACTAGCCTGCATTGTAGTAGACTCTAAGCGTATCCCTGAAAGCGTCAGTTTAGTGGTGGGACCTACAGTTTTATCAGTGGCTGCCGGCACTGCTAAAGTGGTAAATAGTGCTACTGTTTATAATTATACTTTGGGGTATGGTTTTAGGGTCTTCTATGGTCAGGAAATCGTCCAGGTAATGAATTACTACCGGACAATAGCTGATGTTTAGCAAAAGCCAGCAAAGCATCTCTGCGAACATCTCTAGGCCCCAAACGTTAACCGGTTGGCAAAGTAATAAAGACCCTTCAATTTTATTCCATGCAAATGCCATAACGACGGATGTATTGGAAGCAGCTTGAAGACATTGGAGATAACGGTTTTGCTGAGCCAAGCTGCTTACCCAGCCTTCAAGATTGCCTGTATGGCATTGTCTACCATGGCATATTGCAGTGAAAATTTTTCAGACGGTATCAGTGAATTAAGACTCAGAACATGAATAGAATGCGGAGCCAAAAGATCAATTATCAAGCTTTTTTTTATTGTTGTACTTCCTAGTGGCAATACTTATAGGGTTGGTTTGCCAACACCATGAATGGTGGTTGCTGAAATGGCCCAAGCATAAAACCATTTTTCACTTCTGACATCAAGAGATGATGTGTTTTTGTAGGGTCTAGTGTAGCTGACTACAAATTGTTGCATTTGAGTGTTCCTGATGGCAGTGTGATTAACCTCGTGTGAAACTCCTTGGTGAAATCCGTGAGTAGAAATTGAACTAAATCCTGAGAAGGGTGGGAGTTGAGGTAAAAAGCCAATGTGTCTACCTATACTTCTGTTAGTAATTTCCTGGGAAAATGGCAGTTTGGGCACGTTGTCTTTGCATGAGCTCGGAAACATGGAGCAGGCGTGCAACAACCTGGAGGCGTTGAAACTGCAACCACCCGCATTTAAGTTGTTGCAAATCTCTGCCTTACCCAAAAACACTGTTGGTCTCCCCAACTTATCTTTCAGTCCTTTCTGATCTTTCTTACTGGTACTAGGGGTGGCGTAACTAGTAGTAGGTAAACTGGGCTCTTTAGGGCACAAATTTGATGATCTAAGCCAAGTGTGCAGAGCAACGACAGACCCACGCAGTGCTGGAAAAAAATGTAAGTAAAATCACCTTTTACTTTGCTGACAGGTGTGCCGGGCCTAAAATGTGTTTTCATAACTATAGTGACAGGAATACATGTTTGTATTCCTGTCACTAAAGTGTTTTAATAATGCTGTTGGTGGGTGTCTCAGTCTTCGAAGCAGACCAGCAGCAGCAAACCCTTTTATCCCGGCACACGTGATTGCTGTGAATGCCAGTCACAGTGCTGTGTGGATATCAGATCTGCCTCCATCCTCCTCGCTCTGTATTGTGAAATGAATAGAGTTGGATTACACTGCAAAACCTGCTTTTACCAACCTTTCCCACAAAATAACCTCCTTTCCCTTACTTGTGATCAATGCTTGCAGTGCTCACAGCACAGATAACCATAGTTTTGTTTGCTTTTTTGTTTTACTCTTCAAAATCTCTCTAAAATCTGAATTTTAACAGCCAATTCACAGGCAAAAAAGAGTGTCTCAGAGTGTGACGCAGTTAAAGCGTCACGGCCGAATCCCGTGTTTTTTTAGCCCCCCTCCTGACTCCACTACATCTACTTGTCCCCCTAGTCATCCCAAATGCCCCTTAGCCCCCCATATTACTTCTTTTTAAATCTTTATTTTCTGCCTGGACCTAGGTCCTGGGCGCCACCATTTTTGTGTGGGTTAGATGAAGGCCCTGTGGGACACATCATCTGCCCACACTAGATAGCGCTGTGAAATTCCCACCCATGCCCAGTCAAACACTTAGGCATTCGCTGCAGAAATTTAATCTATTCATTCATTCGTCAGAAAGACGAAGGAATGAATAGAAATGTCAGACGAACAAACAAACATCAAATATCGGTGTTCGTTTGTTTGTTCATTTAGTTTATTACAAGGAGAGCGCTACCGGCACGAAGCTCCCTCCTTGTAAAATGTAAAAATAGAAATGGCAGGGAGCAGTGCCACTTCCTAAGCCCCCCCCATGTCCTCCTTCATTCTATGGGGGTCAATATGACCCTCATATTAGCATAAGGGAGATTAAAATCTCTCAAATGCCTCTACTCACTATGCTTGTGGCTGCTCATTAGAAAACAAAACAATACTATCACCACAATCACATGTGAATAGTATGAAATAAGTATGCAATATACTTATCAGGTAAATCAAGTGGACAGCCTCCCAAGGATCACTTCCCAGGTAGTGATCTTTAGACCAGAATACAAGCAAAACACATGAGATACTGCTGTGGAATCTAAAAAGAACATAGACAAAACATAGTGTAATACAATTTTAACAAATAATGTGCGTTGTACAAAAATGCAAGATGTAGACATATTATGCGCTCAACGGGTGCCTCCCCCTATGTAATCGATGTAAAAGCCTCTCCGCTGTCTGCAGTATAAAATAGTGGCTTTTATTATAAATCAAATAAAATTGGTAAAACAGCAGTAGTTGTGGTCTTACACATTTCGTCCCACTCGTGGAACTTCCTCAGAGACCATAAAATCAAAGTAAATTGCAGGTGGTTATACAAAGATAACAGCCTAATAAGTCCCACCCTAGAGTCCCTTTAAAAAAAGGCTAATCCCTGAGTTCATTGGTGGTTCAGAGGGCATTGTTTTTCCTCTGTGGTGCTACTGGTTCCCTTCTTGCACTGGATCAAAGAAGGCGCTGGACTCCGGTAAGTTCTAACCCCTTCAGCAACTTGAGATAGGGGGTGGGAGGGAGAGGGGCACTGCAATGGCGTATATACCGAGTACCCACCATCATCTTTAGCGGCCCTGGCCCATGCAACAAACTGCCGGGCCCTCCGTCCAAGGGGTCCATCGGGTGACCCATGCTGTCAGGGCCACCAGATGGATATGGATTGTAAGGGGGCCCGGTCAGCGCTGGGCACTTTAAGAGCGCAACCGGGTCCCCTGTGATTACATCACACCGAGCTGGGAGGAAGTGACCGCACATCACTCCTCCCAGCTAACACTGAGAGGTGCGCGGGAGGAAGAACAGGGAGTCAGAGTGGGAACTCTGACTCCCATCCACCTGAGCCACCACTGGACCCCATTCACCCTCCTGCACCTAAAAGGTAAGAAACAGGAGGGTGACTTAAATATTGTGTGTGTGTGTGTGTGTGGCTGTTTGTATGTATGTGTGTCTGTCTGTGTGTGTGTCTGCCTGTATGTATGTGTGTCTGCCTGTATGTATGTGTGCCTGTTTGTATGTATGTCTTTGTATGTATCTGTGTTTGTCTGTGTGTGTGTCTGTCTGTGTGTCTGCCTGCCTGTATGTATGTATGTCTGTGCATTGTGTGTATATGTATGTATGCATGCCTGTCTGTATGTGTGTGTCTGTCTGTCTGTATGTGTCTGCCTGTGTGTGTGTGTGCCTGTTTTTATGTATGTATGTGTCTGTTTGTATGTGTGAGTGTGTGTGTCAGTCTGTATGTGTTTCTGTGTGTGTGCCTGTGTGTGTGTGTGTGTGTCATTCTGTATGTGTGTGTGCGTGCAGGTGTGCCTGTCTATGTCTGTGTGTGTATCGGTCTGTATGTATGTGTCTGTCTGTATGTATATATGTGTGCCTGTCTGTTTGTATATATATGTGTGTGTCAGTGTGTATGTGTGTGTGTGTCTGTGTCTGTCGGGGGGGAATAGGGAGGGGGCCCACGTATCAGTTTCGCACCAGGGCCCCATGGATTGTGTGTACGCCACTGTCCTGCAGTGCCAGGAAAACAAATATGATTTCCTGGCACTGGAGAATCCCTTTAATAAAACGAAACAGCAAGTATTTGTATCTGCTAAAGAGAAGGATTGTTAATACCATGGATTTATCATTAACCAGAACCCTCAATATGAATTGAAGTGCAAGGAAATTAACTTATATCATGTGATTATTGCATAGCATAAATAATTATTTTTCTTTTATTAATTATATCTCTAGATTTTTTTTTTTTGACATCATATTGGGCATATTGTAATCTGGCTTTTTTGTGGCATTGGCGCATTAAAAGCTTCTTTCTGGCAACTCGACCATGCAGCTAATTTTTGTTAAAGTATAGTCGTATTGTGGGCCTTGAAGCAACCACACCGTCGTTTTCCAGAGCAGCCTGTATTTCTCTTGAGGTTACCTGTGGGTTTTTCTTTGTATCCCAAACAATTCTTTTGGCAGTTGTGGGTGAACACTTTCTTGGTCTACCTTACCTTGGTATCAAGAGATCCCCGAATTTTCCACTTCTTAATAAGTGATTGAACAGTCTCTACTGGCATTTTCAAAGCTTAGGATATCTTTTTATTCAATTACCTTGTCACCTTGTTATGCCAGTCTTTTCTGCTCCCCATGGCTCAGTATCTAGCTTACTCTATGCATTTACACGAGATAAACTCATTGACTATTTATACACAGACACTAAATGCAATTTTAAAAGGGTATGTAAACTTTTGATCAGGGTCATTTGGGTGATTTCTATAATAATTAAAAGGAGCCAAACAACTATGTGATAATAAAGGACTACGTACAGTTGCAAGAAAAAGTATGTGAACCCTTTGGAATGATATAGATTTCTGCACAAATTGGTCATAAAATGTGATCTGATCATCATCTAAGTCACAACAATAGACAATCACAGTCTGCTTAAACTAATAACACACAAGGAATGAAATGTTGCCATGTTTTTATTGAACACACCATATAAACATTCACAGTGCAGGTGGAAAAAGTATGTGAACCTCTAGACTAATGACATCTCCAAGAGCTAATTGGAGTGAGATGTCAGCCAACTGGACTCCAATCAATGAGATGAGATTGGAGGTGTTGGTTACAGCTGCCCTGCCCTATAAAAACACACACACCAGTTCTGGGTTTGCTTTTCACAAGAAGCATTGCCTGATGTGAATGATGCCTTGCACAAAAGAGCTCTCAGAAGACCTACGATTAAGAATTGTTGACATGCATAAAGCTGGAAGGGTTATAAAAGTATCTCCAAAAGCCAATTTGTCTTACCGTGGACTGATGAACAGCAAGTTCATCAGTCCACGGTAAGACAAATTGTCTAGAAATGGAGAAAGTTCAGCACTGCTGCTACTCTCCCTAGGAGTGGCCGTCCTGTAAAGATGACTGCAAGAGCACAGCGCAGACTGCTCAATGAGGTGAAAAAGAATCCTAGAGCTTAAGACTTACAAAAAACACTGGCAAATGCTAACATCCCTGTTAGCGAATCTACAATACATAAAACACTAAACTAGAATGGATTTCATGAGAGGATACACCAGAGGAAGCCACTACTGTCCAAACAAAACATTGATGCACGTTTACAGTTTGCACAAGAGCACCTGGATGTTCCACAGCAGTACTGGCAAAATATTCTGTGGACAGATGAAACCAAAGTTGAGTTGTTTGGAAGAAACACACAACACTATGTGTGGCGAAAAAAAGGCACAGCACACCAACATCAAAACCTCATCCCAACTGTGAAGTATGGTGGTGGGGGCATCATGGTTTGGGGCTGCTTTGCTGCGTCAGGGCCTGGACGGATTGCTATCATCGAAGGAAAAATGAATTCCCAAGTTTATCAAGACATTTTGCAGGAGAACTTAAGGCCATCTGTCTACCAGCTGAAGCTCAACAAAAGATGGGTGTTGCAACAGGACAATGACCCAAAGCATAGAAGTAAATCGACAACAGAATGGCTTAAACAGAAGAAAATACGCCTTCTGAAGTGGCCCAGTCAGAGTCCTGACCTCAACCCGATTGAGATGCTGTGGCATGACCTCAAGAAAGCGATTCACACCAGACATCCCAAGAATATTGCTGAACTGAAACAGTTCTGTAAAAAGGAATGGTCAAGAATTACTCCTGACCATTGTGCACGTCTGATCTGCAACTACAGGAAACGTTCGGTTGAAGTTATTGCTGCCAAAGAGGTTAAACCAGTTATTAAATCTAAGGGTTTGCGTACTTTTCCAACCTGCACTGTGAATGTTTACATGTTGTGTTCAATAAAAACATGGCAACATTTCATTCTTTGTGTGTTATTAGTTTAAGTAGACTGTGATTGTCTATTGTTGTGACTAAATGATGATCAGATCACATCTTATGACCAATTTGTGCAGAAATCCATTTCTTTCCAAAGGGTTCACATACTTTTTCTTGCAACTGTGTGGTCACCATCCTTCAATAAAAAAAAACCTTTGTTTGCATGATCAGTCATATTTTGAAAAATCAATGCCAAAATTTCACAAATTCTGCCAGTATATGCTAACTTTTTGTATCACAAGTGTGTATGGATCAGTAGGTGTCAAACTTTGTATTTAGCGCAGCTCTCAGTCAGCATAATTCTCATGTTATCATCTATTAAGAGTACAATTCAAATTTCATTGAACAAACCTCCTAATGATAACAGTATTTTTTTTTAAACATAAAAAACTTACAATGCACTGTTCCAAATTATTACGCACAGTAAGTTTCAAAACACTTTATAGGCTGTAAAGAACTGAAAATTGTCATTTGTTGTGTTTGCAGCATATTTACTGAAATCAAAAGCTATTTCAATCAAACTTATAACGACATTTTAACTTTTTAAACATTTTTACAGGTCACAGGACATAGTTGACTGGCTAACACAGGACACCCAATCTTCTACAACTTCCGCTCTGAACCCTGACGCACCATCCTCCTCCAGCTTAGCTTCGAGCACCTCTCAAGTTACCACTCGCCCGCCTGCTGCCTTCACCAACACCACAGCAGCTTCACTTGGTATGTCAGAGGAGTTATTTACACATCAGTTGGAAGAAATGAGTGATGCGCAACCATTATTGCCAGAGGATGTAGATAACAGGGATATGTCTCAGTCAGGCAGCATTACACACATGGACGTACGGTGTGATGATTATGATGTTGTACCCGCTGCTGCTTCCTTTGCTGAGTTGTCAGATACAAGTGAAGCGGTTGATGATGACGATGCGTCCGTGGATGTCACGTGGGTGCCCGCTAGAAGAGAAGAAGAACAGGGGGAAAGTTCAGATGGGGAGACAAAGAGGAGGAGGAGACGACGAGTTGGAAGCAGGGGGAGGTCGTCGCAAGGAGCTAGTAGCACAGTCAGACAGCATGCATCGGCACCCGGGGGTCAGCCAGACAGCACGCCAATCAACGCATGCTGTTGCCACCACCAGAATGCTGTCATTGCAGAGCTCAGCAGTGTGGCATTTTTTTTGTGTGTCTGCCTCTGACAACAGCGATGCCATTTGCAACCTGTGCCAAAAGAAAGTGAGTCGTGGGAAGTCCAACACCCACCTAGGTACAACTGCTTTGCGAAGGCACATGATTGCACATCACAAACGCCTATGGGATCAACACATGAGTACAAACTCAAAGCCGCCATCCTCCTCCTGGTCCAGCATCTTCAGCCACGTTAACCACTGCTGTCCTCCTTGCCCCCTCTCAACCATCCGCCCCTCCGTCTCTCGCCTTGAGCAGTTCCTGCTCATCTGCCCACAGTTAGGTGTCTGTCAAGGACATGTTTGAGCGTAAGAAGCCAATGTCACAAAGTCACCCCCTTGCCCGGCGTCTGACAGCTGGCTTGACTGAACTCTTAGCCCGCCAGCTTTTACCATACAAGCTGGTGGAGTCTGAGGCGTTCAAAAAGTTTGTAGCTATTGGGACACCGCAGTGGAAGGTACCTGGCTGAAATTTCTTTGCACAAAAGGCAATCCCCAACCTGTACTTGATTGTGCAAAAGGAAGTAATGGCATGTCTGGCACACAGTGTTGGGGCAAGGGTCCATCTGACCACTGATACCTGGTCTGCAAAGCATGGTCAGGGCAGGTATATCACCTACACTGCGCATTGGGTAAACCTGCTGACGGCTGCCAAGCATGGAATGCGTGGCTCTGCAGAGGAGTTGGTGACACCGCCACGACTTGCAGGCAGGCCTGCTGCCACCTCCTCTACTCCTCCTACTCCATCCTCTTCCATAACCTCCTCGGCTGAGTCCTCTTCTGCTGCTGCGTCTTGCTCCACATCAACGGCACCCCCCCAGCTTCCCAGGTACTATTCCACATCCCAGATACGGCAGTGTCAAGCCGTCTTTGGGTTGACTTGCCTGAAAGCAGAGAGTCACACCGGACCAGCACTCCTGTCCGCCCTGAACGCACAGGTGGATCAGTGGCTGACTCCGCACCAACTGGAGATCGGCAAAGTGGTTTGTGACAACTGAAGAAATTTGATGGCGGCATTGCATTTGGGCAAGTTGACACGTGCCGTGCATGGCACATGTGTGTAATCTGATCGTACAACGCTTTGTGCATAAGTACCCAGGCTTACAGGACATCCTAAAGCAGGCCAGGAAGGTGTGTGGCCATTTCAGGCGTTCCTACATGGCCATGGCGCACTTTTCAGATATCCAGCGGCGAAAAAACGTGTTTGACGTTTTGAATGAAGTGACTTTTTGTCCCAGTATGAAAATAAACGGCTCATCATATAAACAATCATACATCCCACTGTCATGAAAAAAGTGTAGTGGGCTTATAGTACTTTTGTCCAAGTATAAAAATAAGGGGTCATTATGCAAACAAACATACATGCAGAGAAATCATGTTAATTCTGGAATCTGTAGCCCACCTTAAATAACCTCTAATTTTTTTTCTTATTCATGATCACCTTTACATGTACTTTTGACATTCCCTCAATTAAGACTTTATGCTTAAAATCAGTGTTGCACATCATAACATAGCACATAAATTAGCAAGCCGGAGTAATGCCAAACATCCATCATACCGGGTTAAACAATATTCCCTTTTAACCCCTTTTTCTTTTTTTTTTTTTCTAAACCATTTTAGTCTACAAAACCCATATGTAAATTTACATCACAGGAAATGACAGCCTGCCAAAGGCTTGAAAATCATTTTACCACCTGGCCAAAGGTGAACCTCTTACCAAAGAGGAATTGTCTAGACAATTTGATCAATACTGCCTGCCAAAGGCATTCCTCCAACCCAAGGAGTAATAGAAGTCTACCTAAGACTTAAAAAAATACCATGTCTACCAAAGACTTTATCCTGTGAAAATCCCCTTTAAAAATTTAAATAGTGAAAAACCCCATTAAAACAAGAAATGCAATGTGTGGGAGGATGGCAGAAGCAGGTAAAGGTCCCCAACCCCTTAAGGACACACGACAGAAATATTCCGTCATGATTCCCTTTTATTCCAGAAGTTGTGTCCCCAAGGGGCTAAAGATCTTCTTACCTGTAATCTGCGTTCCCAATTGCACCCAAACTTCTGACACCAGTTTGTTGGGGATAAAATCAGCCCGGGCCCTTTGGGGATGATGGATATTTGCCAACTCATTCAGAGCTCTGGAAATTGGAAATGAATCGCAGAGACGTGTTCAATAACCAATTCAAATTGTATTCATACGTCAGTTATATTTATACCCCATTTTCATAGCAGGATAGGAGGGGGAAAAATGAGCATATGGGCGTGACAATGACATTGTTTTTCACAAGTTATAAACAGCTGTTTCTAGTTATAATTCAGTGTTATATAATGTATGCATATTGGATAAAACCCAGATGATTACAAATACCGAAATCTTGGACAATTAACAAGAACATCCCAAAATCCTTATCCAAGAACATCTCATGTAAAAATCCTTGTCCAAGAACATATCCTGTAAATAGGATTTTAGATAAATTTTATTTCCGAGAATCGGAGATACAATTCCAAATTTATTCTTGGTTCAAATTAACCCTTATATGAACAGCTAGGATATTAAGCAAAATGGATATTCATATCCTACAGCCAGTGAGGCGCTTGATTTGCGACAGCCCGACACGTTGGAATTCAACACTCCTAATGTTCGACCGCCTGCTCCAACAAGAAAAAGCCGTTAACAAGTATTTGTATGACTGGGGTGCTAGGACAGCCTCTGCGGAGCTGGGAATTTTTTTGCCACGTTACTGGACGCTCATGCGCAATGCCTGTAGGCTCATGCGTCCTTTTGAGGAGGTGACAAACCTAGTCAGTTGCACCGAAGGCACCATCAGCGACATCATACCATTTTGTTTTTTTCCTGGAGCGTGCCCTGCGAAGAGTGCTGGATCAGGCCGTAGTTGAGCGTGAAGAGGAAGAGTTGTGGTCACCATCACCACCAGAAACAGCCTTATCAGCATCGCTTGCTGTACCTGTGGCAACGCTGGAAGAGGATTGTGAGGAAGAGGAGTCAGAGGAGGAATGTGGCTTTGAGGAGGAGGAGGAAGACCAACCACAACAGGCATCCCAGGGTGCTCGTTGTCACCTATCTGGTACCCGTGGTGTTGTACGTGGCTGGGGGGAAGAACATACCTTCAGTGAGATCACTGAGGACTAGGAACAGGACATGAGTAGCTCGGCATCCAACCTTGTGCAAATGGGGTCTTTCATGCTGTCGTGCCTGTTGAGGGACCCTCGTATAAAAAGGCTGAAGGAGAATGACCTGTACTGGGTGTCCACGCTACTAGACCCCCGGTATAAGCAGAAAGTGCCTGAAATGTTACCGAATTACGGCAAGTCGGAAAGGATGCAGCAGTTCCAAAATCAATTAAAAAGTATGCTTTACACAGCGTATAAGGGTGATGTCACAGCACAACGGGAATCTAACAGGGGAAGAGGTGAAAGTAATCCTCCTCCTCCCACGACCACGCCGCAAGGACAGGACGCTTTACAGACGTGTTGTTGATGGAGGACATGCAGAGCTTTTTAAGTCCTACGCATCGCCACAGCCCTTCGGGGTCCACCCTCAGAGAACGACTCGACCGACAGGTAGCAAACTACCTCGCCTTAACTGCAGATATCGACACTCTGAGGAGCGATGAACCCCTTGACTACTGGGTGTGCAGGCTTGACCTGTGGCCTGAGCTATCCCAATTTGCGATAGAACTTCTGGCCTGCCCCGCTTCAAGTGTCCTGTCAGAAAGGACCTTCAGTGCAGCAGGAGGTATTGTCACTGAGAAGAGAAGTCGCCTAGGTCAAAAAAGTCTAGATTACCTCACCTTTATTAAGATGAATGAGGGATGGATCCCGAAGGGACTGACAGTGGGCGATACATTCGACTAAAAAAGGCCTGATGAGGGGGACGTAACAGGGTGTCGCGGCTGCCGGCCCGCCGCGTGATATTTAAATCCCTAGCTCACCCCAGTACCTTGCCCTGTCGTGGTTTCCTGTTCCTGGTTTCCTGAGAGTGCTTTATCATTGTGAATCTGATTTCCTGGTATCCTGATCTTGGCTTTTCCCTGGTTATTCTGAATTCTGGTTTCCCTGACTTGGCTTGTGTAAACGGTATTGTGTATTTTCTGGCTTCCTTGACCTCGGCTTTCCCTTTGACCATTCTCTGTCTCTAGCGTATTAGTCCGGCCATTCTAAGGTCCGGTTTATGCTCTGTCCTTTTATTTTCCTTTTCTTGCCTATGTATATGTTTACATAGTTTCTGCGTGCTGGACCACACTAGTAGTCGTGACATTGGGATTAAACTGATAAGAATAGTACTACTTAACACACCACTCCTATCTGGTGGCACATTAGATTGCACGCACAGTGCCCCAAATTTGAAGTAGGAGGACCGACCAAGCATCTTTTTCCATCTCCCGGTTCCTAAAATCGATGCCATATACACGTCCCCTGATAGGGGACGTAACAGGAATTAAACTGATAGGAATAGTATTACACCTTAGTACACACCTTATAACGCAGAGAGAGGCAACGCAGAGAGAGGAGTCTGAAGAAAAGGAGTCAGAGGAGGAAGGTGGCTTTGAGGAGGTGGAAGACCAAACACAGCAGGCGTCCCAGGGGGCTTGTTGTCACCTTTTGGGGACCCTTGGTGTTGTACGTGGCTGGGTGGAGGAAGAGACCTTCAATGACATCAATGAGGACAAGGAATGGGACATGGCTAGCTTGGTATCCAACCTTGTGCAAATGGGGAGTTTGCGGTTGTGAAAACGGACTGTTTGCGGTTGTTTGCGGTGCGTTAAATGGGGAGTTTGGTCTGTCACTGTGAAGCGGGCGTAACCCTTACACTACCTGATCGATACAACATCATACCTGATGTTTTAAAGCATGTTATTCCAAACAATTTAGGAATGTTAGGTGATTAATGCCCTTTATGGATTAAAACCAGACTCTGCATCAACTATGTAATTTTCCATGGGAGTTTTGCCATGGATCCCCCTCCGGCATGCCACAGTCCAGGTGTTAGTCCCCTTGAAACAACTTTTCCATCACTATTGTGGCCAGAAAGAGTCCCTGTGGGTTTTAAAATTCGCCTGCCTATTGAAGTCTATGGCGGTTCGGCGGTTCGCCTGTTCGCGAACATTTGCAGAAGTTCGCTTTTGCCATTCGCGAACCGAAAATGTTATGTTTGCGACATCACTAGTGACATGTTAGATCACTTCCTCCCAGTGTTGTAGTGGAAGAGGGAAGACAGAGAAACCTAGAGTTACTGCTACCAGGCTGAAGGCAGTTCCCTGCAAACAAAATCACACAGCAGTACAGCTTTTATTCCATGCTACTGTGTGCATGATGTGGTTGGGGTGGTGTGGCTGTTTTGTGGCCCTCCTGCCTTAGGGGCAGTCAACCATGAGGCTGTGTACCGTGCACCTTCTGCACCTGCCAAGAGCTGGCCCTGCACACACACAATAGACACACACAACCTGCTACACACAAGCACAAAGCTAAACACATATACTTGCTAACAATTTAGCAACATAAGTGTGGGGCTTCCTTGGGCCAGGTAAAGTGCCAGTTCTGGAAGGAAAGGGCCAAGTGCTGGAAGGAAATAATCTGATGTCACTTCCTCCCAGCACTGTCTCATCCACCATGAGCCACAATCACTGTTCGTGCTGACTGCTCAGTTTGGCACTAGCAGATATGTGAAGAAGAAAAATGCTGCTCCACTCCAACTGTTGCTAGGGCCATTGGTCCAACTGGGACCCCAATCATGCCAGGTCTAATCTCTCCAGTCAACCTTTTTGAGTTGATTAGAATAGAGAGCATGGGCACACAGGCTGGTATCCATAATAGCAGAAGTTATTTTATGAACAAATACAGCAAACTTTTGGTTCAATATATGAGCCTTTATCAAGCCTAATTACGCAATCAAAACCCATACATTTACAGTGAAAATATTTAATCAATTAAAACAATACACAAAGGCTAACTCACCAGGTGGAGATGGTCAGAGTGCTTCAAACCTAAGAGCAGAAGTGAAATCAAATGCTCGCATGTTCTGTATGTAATAGTGTAATTTTTTAGGCTTTCTCTTCTATTGATTTTTTTGGGAACTCGCCCCTCCATCCTTGGTGCAAACTTTATTCTCATTTCCTGCATGTGCATTTCAGATTTGGTAAAAAAAGCCTTGCATAATCTATAAATGTGTCATATTTTGCCACCCTCTGTTCTAAGGTGTGGAAATCATATGAAATGGTTGCCTTTTGCCTTAGATGGTTCACTTTTTATTCTGGTTCTTTTCCTATTTGCACCTATTTATTCCCTTCTTTGTGTTTTTTCACGTATTTTTTCTTTATTAAACGTGTTACACCCCTATAGCTGTCAAATGCTACTAGTAATGTTACTTCCTGGTAGTTTAGCTTAGTGGAGCTAAACTCAACTGGCAGGCAGATGCCCAGAGCACCTGCTTTGCAAAGACTTCTCAATGAACTGCATTAGGAAGTCTTTTATTGGACAGCCACAGAAAATCTAGCATGGAAAAGAAGGGGAAGGCCTTCCCCCTTGTAAAATTACACATTTTTAACTCCAAAAGGGTCTCCATGGATGATGGGAAGTAGATCCTGCTTTCCCTCTCTGAAGGTAAAGGCAATATGATGCCCATATTGGCTCCATCATTCACACAAATGCCCTATCCATCAGACTGGAGATCTTGGAAGCAATGGATGAGGATTTATCAAACCGAACTTGCATGAACAACCGCTTTATACGGATAGTAATCTATCCAAAAAGGTATAATTTCTACGCTTTATATATTGATCAGTGGGAAGAGAGCCTACAGCAGATGCTTGAGGGGAGAAACTGGAAAGGGATTTGGTAGTCTGCTTCCACGGTATCCATTCAGTGGCGGATCCAGAGCCTGATCTCGGGAGGGGCACTTGTAGATTATTTAAATAAATAATCCTGGCACAATAACCACTACAGCTCAGTGTAGTAGTTATGGTGCCAGTAGTTTGACAACTTACCTGGGGTCTGCTGGGATATAGGGCATAGGAGCAGTGGTGTGTGTTAGGGGTGAAGTGTGTGTGAAAGGTGCAGTGTGTGTGAGCGGTGAAGTGTGTGTGTGTGAGTGTGCGTGTGCGTGAGGGCGGCAGTGTATGTCAGGGTTGCAGTGTGTTATGGGGCAGTGTATATGTGGGGCAGTGTGTGTATGGGGGGCACTGTATGTCTGTGTGGGGCAGTGTGTGTATAGGAAGGGCACTTTATGTATGGGGAGCACTGTATGTATGGGTGGGTCGTGTGTGTGTGTGGGGCAGCAGTGTGTATGTATGTATGGGTGTGCAGTGTGTATGGGTGTGCAGTGTGTGTATGGGGGCAGTGTATGTGTGTATGGGGGACAGTGTGTATGGAGGGCAGTGTATGTGTGTATGTGGGCAGTGTGTGTGTGTGTGTGTATGGGGGCAGTGTATGTGTGGGGGGCACTGTGTGTATGGGGGGCAGTGTGTGTGTATGGGGGCAGTGTATGTGTGGGGGCAGTGTGTGTGTATGGGTTGCAGTGTGTGTATGGGTTGCAGTGTGTGTGGGGGGCAGTGTGTGTTGGGGGCAGTGTATGTATGGGGGGCAGTGTGTGTGTGGGGGCAGTGTGTGTATGGGGGAGGAAGGAGGGAAGGGAGGCTTTAAAAAAAAAAATGTATTTAATAAAATACATAAATTGATGTCTCCCCTCCCTTCTTACCTTTATTGAGGAGGAGGGGGGTCCAGTGTGGAGTGAAGTCGTGCTCCGATTGCCCTGTTGCCCCCCCCTCCCCCGGATCCGCCAATGTATCCATTTGCATTATTTTGCAAGAACAAATGTACAAAATTATTTTCATGTGGTATGTGTTCTATATATGCAGAGGTTGGTTTGCTTCTGGGAACATATTAGAGATCTCATGGGCAGGGTGCTTTATTATTATTATTATTATTATTGCCATTTATATAGCGCCAACAGATTCAGTAGCGCTTTACAATATTATGAGAGGGGGGATGTAACTATAAATAGGACAATTGCACGAAAACTTACAGGAACAATAGGTTGAAGAGGACCCTGCTCAAACAAGCTTACAGTCTATAGGGGGTGGGGTATAAAACACATTAGGACATGAAATATCAATCAAATAAGGTGGGAGTGAAGCAGGGCTGGAGGAGACAGTAAAGTGCTGCCCTATAGGAGAGAGCAAGAGACAGGTGTGTAAGGTAGAGGTTACTCTGGGAGGCCATAAGCTTTCCTAAAGAGATGGGTTTTAAGGCACTTATTAAAGGATTGAAGACTAAGGGAGAGTCTGATGGGGGTAGGCAGGCTATTCCATAGGAAGGGAGCTGCCGGCGAGAAGTCCTGCAAGCGCGAGTTGGTTGTACGGGTGCGAGTTGCGTTCAGGAGGTGGTCACGAGCAGAGCGGAGGGAACAAGGAGTGGCATACCTGTGGATATGTGAAGAGATATAAGAGGGGCTAGAATTGGTCAGTGCTTTACATGTATGGGTTAGCACTTTGAATTGACTTCTATAGGATACAGAAAGCCAAAATAAGGACTGACAGACGGGTGAGGTGTGAGAGGACCGACCAGAGAGGAAAATCAGTCTGGCGGCGGCATTCATTACAGACTGTAGCGGGGCAATACGGCTTTTGGAGAGGGTTATAATAATCCATGCAGGAAATTACTAGAGCATGGACAAGCTCCTTGGTAGCATCTTTTGTAAGAAAGGGGCGAATGTGGGCTATGTTTTTAAGTTGGAGTCTATAGGATTTGGCAACAAACTGAATGTGAGGCTCAAAGGTGAGGCCAGAGTCAAATATGATGCCAAGACAGTGTGCTTGCAAGGATGGACTTATGTGGATACCACGGACTTGAAGGTAGAAGGAGAGAGGTGATCAGTATTACGAGGAGGAAAGACAAGGAGTTCAGTTTTAGAGAGATTGAGTTTCAGAAAACAGGAGTACATCCAGTCAGAGATGGAAGAAAGGTAAGTAGTGACACATTGCAAGATGGCAGGGGAGAGGTACGGGGAGGAGAGATATATTTGGGTGTCATCAGCGTACAGATGGTAGTGGAATCCAAAAGAGGCAATAAGTTTGCCAAGAGAGGCAGTATAAAGAGAAAATAGAAGGGGACCAAGGACAGAAGTTTGGGGAACTCCAACCGAGACAGGACGAGGGGAGGAGGTATCCTTGGAAAAGGAGACACTGAATGAGCGTTGGGAGAGATAACAGGAAACCACGAGAGGACAGAGTCACAGAGACCGAGCAATTGAAGAGTTTGAAGGAGGAGAGCATGAACAACAGTGTCAAAGGCAGCAGAGAGGTCAAGAAGAAATCATATGGAGTAGTGGCCTTTGGATTTAGCTGCAATTAGGCCATTAGTAACTTTGAAAAGAGCAGTCTCAGGAGAGTCGAGAGGGCGGAAGCCAGACTGCAGAGGGTCAAGGAGAGAGTTGGAATCGAGGAAGCAAGACACATGGGTAAAGACAAGCCTTTCCAGAAGCTTTGAGGAAAAAGGGAGCAGGCATATGGGACGATAGTTAGAAGGGGAGGATGGCTCAAGAGATGTTTTTTTCAGGATAGGTACTACAGTGGCACATTTAAGGTCAGCAGGGACAACGCTAGAAGAGAGAAAGCAGTTGAAGATGTGTGTTAGGGAAGGCACAAGACAAGGGGGGATTGATCTGATGAGGTGAGAAGGGACAGGATCAAGCAGGCAAGTGGTGGGGCGAGAGGATAGGAGAAGGGCAGCCACCTCTTGTTCAGTAGCTGGGGAGAAAGTCTGAAGGGTAGGAAAGGCATGATCTAAGTGTGGTTGAGAAAGAGAATGGCAAGGAGGGGAGAATTATTTCCTTAGCTATTCAATCTTGTTGATAAAGTAGCATGCAAAGCTTTAGAAATCGATTAGCCTTGGTCCTTTCTGCATTCCAAGCCAATAGAGGGATTGCCTCCATCCAATCACAAATTATTCAACAAAACACTCCTAGCAGCTACTCAAGTTTTAGCCCAGAGCTGGAGTGGGAATGGAGTACCCTCAGAGGATATGGTCATACTTAAAATCAAAGACACCTATCTCATGCATAAACTAACTGCCTACGTAAGGCATACCATGACAACTTTTCATAAGGTTTGTGAGCCCTGGGAGGAGAGTCTTGGGTCCTGATTTATGCACTTGTGGACACTGGAATTTTCTCGTGGGTGCCCCCTCTACCCACCTTCTGTTGTATGTTTTTCTTACCTTTTCTCTTCTTAACCTACACTTGCATATATATATATATATATATATATATATATATATATTCCATGTTCTACATTGTTAATATGAAAAAGTATGCCAGGGATTGGAATTTTGATTGCCCACTGGTTAATTGACAGTACCATCTTGTCTCTGTACCATCTTCAGCAAATAAATAAAGAAGTTTAAAGGACCACTATAGTGCCAGGAAAACATACTCGTGCCCCCACCCTCAGGGTCCCCCTCCCGCCGGGTTCTGGGGAGAGGAAAGGGGTTAAAACGTACCTTTCTCCATCGCTGGGCGGGGAGCTCTCCTCTCCTTCGGCTGAATGCGCAAGCGCTGCATGTGCATTCAGCCGCTTGCGTGTTCTCACTGTGATTTTCACAGTGAGAATCACGCAAGCGCCTCTAGCGGCTGTCAATGAGACAGCCGCTAGAGGAATTGAGGGCTGGATTAACCCATTTATAAACATAGCAGTTTCTCTGAAACTGCTATGTTTATAAAAAAAAATGGGTTAACCCTAGCTGGACCTGGCACCCAGACCACTTCATGAAGCTGAAGTGGTCTGGGTACCTAGAGTGGTCCTTTAAGGCAATAAACCCACATAGCCCTGTATTCCTATTCACAAGGAAAATTAATAGGAGAAGTCATTTTAAAATTTAAAAAGACACTACAAACCCCTAAAGCACTTTAGCTTGCTGCAGTGTTTTATGTGTAGAGAATCTGTCCTCTTCTTTCATTTGCACAAAGTGCAGATTTCAAAAGAAATCAACACTTTTTTAAATTTATGATCACACTCCCTTCAAGGAGAAAACAAGTTATGATACTTTCTGGTTTGTTTAGATCTATTGTGGACCAAACCAAGTGTTTGATGATTGAATATCTGCCCCAAGCCAAATTATTGAAATTTAATGAGTGCACGCTCCTAAAGTAAATTCACACCGGACACAAGTTTCTGGTTGATGAAAGAACTTCAGGAATGTTTATTCAGGGGGCCGGCATGCCCCTTATAAAGCAAGAATACATCATATGCAAAATTATAGATAATAGAGAAAATACATCAATAATTGGTTAGGTGTTAAGTGTTTTATCTAATGCACATCCTACGAGGCTTGATGTCACTGTTATCACAGGTTTTTACTCCGGATTCCAGCGCCATCTTGTTACATGAGGTAGTTAGTCGATGGAAGGGGTTGCCTCTAGTAGCCATTTTGAGTAAATATTGAATATGAGTATGTATGAGTAAATAGGCATTATGTGTATGGGCATGATAACTTTAGCTAGGGCACATTCCCCACCACCAGAGACCTTCCAATCTGGATCTGAGTTGCATGTCCCCACACAGCCAAAATATGTCCCCCAGTGATCTGACTTGTCTCGTTCAGAGGTCAACTGGAGGTGATATTCTATATGTAGCACAACAGCCTTTAGGGAAATTTCCTAGAAATGTACCTGCCCACTGGGTATAGCGTAGCAGGTGTAATTCCTGGGATATATGGTAACACCTTCAGGCGGCCTAACATTCCTGGTACTTAAGGGATATTCCTTTTTCCACCAGTCACATGCTGACCAATTAGTTTTCTGATAAACATAAAGACTCAAAAAACAAGTTTCCACTTCGGGGGGTAAGTCTAAAGGCACGGTACCCAAATGGGGTCGTGCTCCTCCACATACATAACAATTAGTTCTATTATGAGAGTTAGCATTATACCTCATCCATTCATGCCATAGGTTAGTGTCTGAGAAGCCTGTTTCTACCGCCATAGTGTCTTCGAATGTGGGGTTAGCTATGGCTACTGTGACGAAGTGCCCTTCGCCACTTGGTACTGGAGAGGCTTGCCTGCCAGCCTCCTCCCCTGTGACTATGACTCTTTGATGTATTTGCCTTTAAAGCCCCTATTCTACCTTCAGACAGACTATTTATGTAGGCTGCTTTATTTATCTTATGTTTTAGTCACCCTGTACCCATTATAGGTGCAGGGTGTGTGTAATGTAATTGTTTATAGTGTGTGTGTGTACTGTGAAATGTATTGCCTTCTCTCCTGTACTGCTGAGGTTTGCTACCAACTAGGTGGGTTTGGCTATGGAGCTTGTCTAGTGCCCTCTGTTGGTAGCAACAGCAATATGCACTACCTGAATTGCAAGACTGGTTCATTTGCATATTCGGGCATATATTCTGCAGGCAGGTGAGATATTTACTGTTAAATATTGTCTCCCCCCACCCCTTTAAAAATGTGCCATTGTGTTGTGATAAGTCACTGTGTGTTTCTTGATATGGTTTGACTGTTTGTGATTTTATTGAGGTTTCACAACAATGTTATTGTGGTGACTGTATTGGCTGGTCCCAAGGGAATAAAGGTTTTGACAGTTCTTCTTGATCCCTCTAAACGTAGCCTTGTCTCGTTATTGGAGGGAACTGTTATAATCACACTGGGGATTGCTATGCTCTGCATACTCCCCTGAGCTTTTAATCACTTAGCTCTTTTAAGAGCTGTTCCTGTTACGCTCTCCTGGAGGAGAGGTCTTCCCCACACGGTCCTGGAGGACAGAAGCTGATCCAGGGTGGAAGGAAGACGGCGAGACTCCAGTTAAGCTACGGCGGTTGTGGAGTCTGCGGTGGTTGTGGTGTCGGCTGCAGTGTTTGGAGTCCTCAGGAAGCGCTAGGAGCATCCATCAACGGAGGGTACTCGGTCGGAGTACAGGGAGCTCCGTTACAGCTACCATGTCTTTGAGGGTCTTGATGTGTGGTTTGGGAAGGTTAACCATCATGTGTTGTGTGTCTACCCACTCAGGTGATTGATATATGTCTTGTAGATAGAAAGTTCCCAATTTGTTGTATGAGCCCCCCCTTTCCAATACATTCCCATTACGTATTCACTAGTATCTCCAGGGCTGGGGTGCTCTATATTTAAGGTAAGTTTCATTGGGGTTGTCCCTGTTGGTTTCCATAAAGTCATTCTGTGTAGTAAAGATTTCCCATTCTTGTCCACTCTGTTTAGGGCACTTTGTGGCTTATAGCCCCATGCTAATCCTGTGTTCCAACCTGCCGCCTTCCAGGAACTACAGTGATGTCCCCAATAGTCATCTGTCACACATATGTATGGGTCCTTTTTACTAGGTATATCTTTGTAGATTGTTGACAGCAATGATTGTGGGAATGTACAAGTGACAATATCACAGTAGTCAAATGTAAATGTAGCGACATGTGTGTTGAAAGAGTTATACCAAAATGTGTAAACATGATTATCTTTAGCGATAGCAACTTATTGGGCCTCTATAAGACCTAGCAGCAGAAAAGGGCACAGGAAGCTCATGAATCAGCAGGATCTGCTTCCTCTGGAGCTGGAGCTTTCTTGCAATGTGAAGCATGTATCCAAGTCTTTTTCCCAGCCAATTTCACTGAGGTAGATGTGGTCAACAAGACTTGGAAAGGACCATCATATCTTGGCTCAAGAGAGCTTTTCCTCAGGAACCTCTTAACCAGGACCCAATCACCAGGAAGTAGCTTGTGGGTGCCCGTATCAGACTCTGGATCAGGAATGGAAGAAAACACTTGTGTATGGATTTTGGTCAAAGCCAGAGAGAGAGCAGTTACATATTCAACCAACACATCTGATTGGAGTTGGAGCTGTTGAGGGAAATAGCAGCCTAGTCTGGGGGCTGAACCAGACAAGATTGTGTATGAGGATAGGCCAAACTTCCCTCTTGGTGCATACCTCACACTAAATAGAGCTATGGGTAGACACTCTGGCCAGGGTAGGTTAGTTTCTTGGGCCATTTTAAGCATTCTGGCTTTTAAGGTGCCATTCATGCGTTCTACCTTGCCACTTCTCTGTGGATGATAGGGTGCATGGAATGCAAGGGTCAACCCGAGTGCTGCCCAGATTTCTTTAGTCACCAATGCAGTGAAGGATGGGCCCTGGTCACTTTCTATCACTTCCGGGACTCCATATCTGCACACAACTTCAGTGAGTAGACGTTTGGCCGTAGTTTTGGCTGTCATGTTGGTGATGGGAAAGGCTTCTGGCCATCCTGAGAACATGTCCACTATGACTAGTGCATTATTAGGTTGATGAAAGAACTTCAGGAATGTTTATTCAGGGGGCTGGCATGCCCCTTAAAATGCAAGAATAAATCATATGCAAAATTATAGAGAAAATACATCAATAATTGGTTAGGTGTTAAGTGTTTTATCTAATGCACATCCTACAAGGCGTGATGTCACTGTTATCACAGGATTTTACTCCGGATTCCAGCGCCATCTTGTTACACAAGGTAGTTAGTCGTCCATAACAAATCCGTGGCGCTAAACTCAAGAGGCAGCAACTGCCCAGAGCAGTTAGAAAAATCGTTCATACAGTGCTAACTAGAGGCCTTCTTTTAATCATAATAAGGAAGGATGAAAAATGAAAAAAGGGGATAAACACTAAATAACTCAATAAAGATGAACAGAGTAAATAGAAAACAAAAAGGTGGAAATAACACAAGTGACTGCCTAGGTAAATGCTTCCATTCCAAACAGGCCTTAAGCATTATCTTAAAAAAAACACTAAATGGCGCTTGATACCCGGCATTAAAAGAATAGTTACCAATCTTGAAGCTGTGCTGTTAAATCACACTTAAAAATAAAGAAACTAAGGAAAAGGAGGTTAAAATTGAAATCACACAATCTATTCACAATGACATAAACTATAACACCGAGGGGGCGGAGCCAGCACTCAAGATAGTTGCACATCACTGCAGCTACGTGCACTGGACCCAAACCGGCCACCCGGAGACGCCATAAACCGACTCACCGAGCGTTACCGACGGCACACGGGCTCCCCACAACATAGGGAAAAAGAGCAAAAAACAGTGGGCAGATCCGAGCGCAGGATCTGGAGATATTGGGGCTTTTCTCCGTGCAGCCTCACTGCAGGTACCTCCCAAGATGTCGCCCGAGGCCTATGCCTCACAATTCTCGGTTGAGGGTAGCAGCTACACAGAACCCTCTACACTGCACCGAGTGCGATGGACACCCCAGGGACTTCAGGATCAGGGGAATCAGCACCCTCCACCAAAGTTGATATAAAAGCCCTGGTGAAGGAAATAAAGACCATGTTCCAAGCGGACATGGCGCTTGTGAGGGAAGGCGTTGCTTCACTCACCAACAGAGTGGCGGCGGCGGAGGAAGGCATAAGGGGTACTACCCTGGCGCAAAACGCCACGGATGCTGCATTAAATTCATGCGCAAGCAATGTGCCGATCAACAAGCCCAACTAGCTGACATTGAAGACAGGCATAAGGCACGGAATCTAAGAGTCCGGGGAGTACCGAAGACAATCTCTGGCACCGAACTGCCTCATTACTGCCGCAGGCTCACAGCCACATTGCTGACACCATGGCAAGCTAAGCAAATAACCATTGATTCCTGCTTCAGACTCTCCAGGGCACCTTCCATGCCGCGTGTACTGATAAGATTTGTGAGAGACTCAGACCGGGGAATACTTATGGGGGCCACAAGAGGCTCTCCCACAGTGCAGTTCGAAGGAGCGCAACTAGCCTTTTACAGAGACTATTCAAGACACACCTTACAATGGAGGAAATCTTTTCGCCAGGTCACGCAAGTTCTACAGGAACAAGCCATCCCATACAAGTGGGGACCATGCCACCTGCAAGCGGACAAGGGTAGAACGATACACAAGATAACACGTCTGAAATGCCGACCTTCCTTTGATCTCTAGGCATACAGGCGCAGATGACTCAAGCAACAGCCCGACCACCCTGGACTGTTGCAGATATTACCCCCTTCGTGCCCAGAGGAGAGGTTCTGCAAATGGCTGCCCTACCTACCTGATACGGGCACAGATGCGCAGGTTCCATGTAATTTTACCTGTTACAACAACAGGCGCACTAATAGTTCCCAAAGATGTAATTTTTTTATATAACCTCCCCCCACTGGCTCCTCAAGCTACTGTCAAATTACTCTGTCAAGATAACTTCCCCCCCCACCCCCCCGCCCCCACGTACTATGAGTGTGAAAACAAGTTTTAAAATCGATAGCCACTCACACACTCGGCCACACAACAAGGCTATGGTATTGAGTGTATGCTCCGCCCAGGTCCAGAAGGACCCAAGCCAGATACTTTTTTTTGTGTAGCCATATATTTTATTGCTTTATTGTTTGATTTACTTATCTTTTGTACCTGGCATCCTGACAACTTACAGCAGAGACTGGATTCATCTGTAGGAAAGATTCATCTGTAGGAAAAGGTTACTGATTGCACAAGGTTTGAATTCCTGTTGGTAATTATAAGGTATTTGATTTGATTAGTTAGCTACTTGCTATTGATTGCTGTTTAAATGAGCTATTGTTTGCAAATAAGCTGAGGCCTACCCAGGTTTTAAAGATTCCTAGTGGGTGGTGATTTTAGGAGTTATATAAGGGTTGTTGTCATTAGCTTGGCTAATATAGCTTGGTTGCTTCATCTAAGTCAGTGATTGCGAACCTTTTTGAGCCTGAGTGCCCAAATCGCAATACATGCCAACTTTTTTCCCCTCAAAGTGCCAACATGGCAATTAAACCTGAATACTGAGGTTTACGTTTAGAAAAAACTACTCGTACAGTTAACAAGTTTTATTTTAAAAGAACACAACAGAGTTAAATTATACAAATTTTAAATAATGATATAAATTAAGCTTATATTTATTAGAATCTCCAACAAATGCAATACATACACACAGACTGCTGAACACATTCACACACCAACTGCTTAATAGATACACACACCAACACACAGACAGACTGCTAAATGCACACACAGTCCGCTAAATACACACACACAAACACGCACACTGCTGAATACACACACTGCTGAGTACACAGTCTGCTGAATACACACACGCAGTCTGCTAAGTACGCAGTCTGCTGAATACACACGCAGTCAGCTTACACACACTGCTTAATACATAAAGACTGCTGAACACACACACATAAACTGCATTGAGGGGTGCAGTGTATGTGTTTGTGTGTAGTGCTGTGTGTGTGGGGGGGGTGCTGTGTGTGTTTGGGGGAGGGGGTGGTGTGTGTGGGGGAGGTATGGGTACTGCGGGTGTGGGGTGGTGTGTGGGGGGTAGGGGGTACTGTGTGTGTGGGGGGTAGGGATACTGTGTGTGTGTGGGTGGTGTGCTGTGTTTAGGGGTAGGTGTGCTGTGTGTAGTGGGTAGGGGTGCTGTGGGTAGGGTACTGTGTGGGGGTAGGGGTGCTGTGTAGGGGGGTAGGGGTGCTGTGTGTAGGGGGTAGGGGTGCTGTGGGTAGGGGTGCTGTGTGTGGGGGGGTAGGGGTGCTGTGGGCAGGGGTGCTGTGGGTAGGGGGTAGGAGTGCTGTGTGTGGGGGAAGGAGTTATAGATGCATTAAAATAAAAAACATATTAAATACTTATTAAATCAGTATCCCTTTGGTGAAGGGGAGGGGGGGAACACAGCCATCCCTGGTGGTCCGGTGGTGGTAAGTATGCAGGACAGGATGACAGGTCCTGCAGCTCTCCTGCCCTCCTGCGTGATGCTGTGACGAGCGTTTCCATGGTAACACGCGGCAACAATCCACACAGCTCGAGGGAAGACACGAGAGCTGCTTCCTCGATCCCTCCCCCTGTCCTCCCGACCCGGAAGCAGAGTAGGCGCCTGCCGTTCTCAGTGAGCAGTTCAGAGGTTTTGCTAGGATGTATTTAAACTATGAGGGGGGGGATCTTGAGGAGCCAACTTGTAAAGAGGCCATACTAGATTTAGTGTTAACAAATGGAGATTTGGTATCAGATATTACTGTAGGTGAAAGTTTAGAATCCAGTGATCATCAGTCAGTGTGGTTTAATATAAGAACAGTGACTAAATCACACCACACAAAAACAAAAGTTTTAGACTTTAGAAAAACAGACTTTTCTAAAATTAGAATATGTGTAGAGAAGTGATTATCAGACTGGAGCAATTTAAATGGAGTCCAAGAGAAATGGGATTATTTAAAAGCTGCACTATTAAAGGCAACAGAAAATTGCATTAGGCTTGTCAGTAAAAGCAAAAAATTCAAGAAACCACTGTGGTACTCTGCAGATGTGGCCAAAATAGTTAAAAACAAAAAGTTAGCATTTAGTAATTATAAAAAAAAAACCCAGAGTGAGTAAGACAAAATGATCTATAAGATTAGGCAGAAAGAGGCTAAACAAGTTATAAGAGCTTCCAAATCACACACACAGAAGAGAAAATAGCACAGTCAGTAAAAAAGGGGGACAAAACTTTTTTTAGATACATAAATGAGAAAAGAAAAGTAAAACAAGGATTAGTTAGATTAAAAACAAAAGAAGGAAGGTATGTAGAAGAGGAAGGTCTAGCTGACTGCCTTGATGAATATTTTTGTTCTGTATTTACAGATGAAAATGAAGGAAAGGGACCTCGTTTAAGAAAAAGGATAAATGAGTCATTTATTACATGTGAGTTTACAGAGGAAGAGGTTCTATTTCAACTGTCAAAAGTAAAGACAGATAAGTCAATGGGACCTGATGGAATACACCCAAAGCTATTAAAAGATCTTAGTGGTGTACTAGCAAAACCATTAACATATTTATTTAACCAATCATTGTTAACAGGAGTAGTCCCAGAAGATTGGAAGTTATGCCCATTTACAAGAAAGGTAATAGGGAGGAGTCGGGCAACTATAGGCCAGTAAGCCTTACTTCAGTAGTGGGGAAAGTGATGGAAACCATGTTAAAGGATAGGATTGTTGAACATCTAAAACACATGGATTTCAAGATCAGAGACAACATGGGTTTACTTCAGGGAGATCATGCCAAACTAATCTTACTGATTTTTTTGATTGGGTAACTAAAATTATAGATCAGGGTGGTGCAGTAGACATTGCTTACCTAGATTTCAGTAAGGCTTTTGACACTTTTGCACATAGAAAGCTTATCAATAAACTGCAATCTTTAAGTTTGGATTCCAATATTGTTGAATGGGTAAGGCAGTGGCCGAGTGACAGTCAACAGATGGTTGTAGTCAATGCAGTGGCGTACTAAGGGGGGAGCGGGAGGGGCGGTCCGCCCCGGGTGCCACCAGGGTGGGGGGTGCCATGACCAGCCCCGCCGCCCCCCCCCCCATGCTGCAGCCGCCCGAGCACTCTGTGAAGAGCCTCAGGCGGCTGCAGCTTTGCCCGGGCGGTGCGTCCATGAGGGCGGACCGCACCGCCGGGCGCAGCCTGAGGAGAGGGGCTGACACTCCTGTCAGCTCCCTCACTGCAGCATGGTCCGACGGGTACAGAGAGCAGCTGTCTCCTGTACCCGGCCGGACTAACAGGAAGTGCACACTGAGTGTTCACTTCCTGTTAGTCCGGCCGGGTACAGGAAACAAAAGCTCGCTGTACCCGTGGACTATACTGGGCTCGGCCACGCTACAACAGTGGTAGGGGGGAGGGGAGAAAGAAGGGGAAAGGGGGGTGAGAAAGAAGGGGTAGAGAGAAATAAGGGGGGGCAAGAAAAGAAATAAGGGGGTGAGGAAAGAGAAGTCATGGGGTGAGAGAGGGTGAGAAAGAGAACAGCAAGTAGAAAAGAGAAATAAGGGGGGGTGAGAAAGAGAAATAAGAGAAATAAGGGGTGGAGAAAGAGAAATACAAAGAGAAAGAGAAGGGGGTGAAAGAGAAATAAGGGGTGAGAAAGAGAAATAAGGGGGGGTGAGAAAGAGCAGGGGGGGGTGAGAAAGAGGAAATAAGGGGTGAGAAAGAGGTGAAATAAGGGGTGAAAGAGAAAATAAGGGGGGGGTGGAAAGAGAAAATAAGGGGGTGAGAAAGAGAAACAGGGGGGTGAGAAAATAAGGGGTGAAAGAGAAATAAGGGGGGTGAGAAAGAGAAACAAGGGGGGTGAGAAAGAGAAATAAGGGGGTGAGAAAGAGAAATAAGGGGGGGTGAGAAAGAGAAATAAGGGGTGAGAGAAATTGGGAGGAGGAGAAGGAAATTGGAGCGGGAGGAGAGATTGATATTCATCACATACACACAATGCACCCCTTGCACACAGAAAAACACACAATGCATTACACACACAGACACACATACACAAGCAATGCAACCGTTACACACAATGCATCCCTTACACACACAGAAACACACAATGTATTCATTACACACACTCAATGCACCCCTTACACACATTCAATGCATCCCATACATACACAGAAACACACCTTGCAGTCCCTACACATACAAACACAATTTCACACAATGCATTCCTTACACACATATCAGGACATCCCCTACACACTCCACCCCCTGTGAACAAACTCATTGGTGGAACATGAAGGTGGACCCTGGGACCCAGACCTTGAGCTGTGTAAAGGACCCCCAAAAAATGGAGCTGCTTCCCGTTCTCCCAGAACATTGATTTTTGTGACCACAGTTACAAACCGCCTCAGAGAGCCTGTTCTGCACCAGACCAGTGGAGCCAGACTGCAGCTAGAGCCCATCATCATCCTCATCTGGTTGTAAGTAGGCAATCTAGTATATTATTCGTGGCACTAAGCTCTAATTTACCTCACATTAAAGAAACACTATAGTCCCCAGAACCACTTCAGCTTAATGTAGTGGTTCTGGTGTCTATAGCCCGGTCCCTGCAGGCCTTTTAATGTAAACACGGCGGCACTGCAGCACTGGCGTTAGTTAACATGGCAAATCATATGGCTGGGGCATTGTGATGTCACATGGGGGGGCGGCAAACTTTACTTTTGCCTAGGGCGGCAAAAATCCTTGCACCGGCCCTGGCTGGAGGGGGCTGTGTGAGCTGTGGCCGCACAGTGTCCCATGGTAGTTAGGGTGCCGTGCGGCCAGTACAGCTCACACAAGCAAACAGCTGATAAACTGGCCGCACGGAGGAAATGTGTATGTGTGACTGTCTGCCTGTGACTGTATGTGACTGTCTGCCTGTAACTGAGTGTGTGACTGTCTGTAACTGAGTGTGTGACTGTCTGCCTGTAAATGTGTGTGTGGGGCTGCAGGGATTTTGTAGAAGGGGGCGGGGGTTTTGTATTGGGACAGGAGTCTTTATAAGGGGGGATAAGCAGGGGATTTGTGGAAGGCCAGGGGTTTTGTAGATGGGGCAGTACAGGATTTGTAGAAGGGGCAGGACAGAGGTTTTGTAGGAGGGGCGGGCAGGACAAGGGTTTTGTAGGAGGGGCTGACAGCGGTTTTGCAAAGTTTACAAATTGTAAAATAAAAGAAATAAAACCTTAAATATTTTACAGGTTTTTTGGGGAGGGGGTGGGGGTGCCAAGCCACAGGATCCGCCTGCAAATGCTCTAGGTACTTGAGTCAATGGAATATATTCAAAGCTTGGACTTGTCACCAGTGGGGTACCTCAGGGATCTGTACTTGACCCATTCTCTTTAATATTTTTATTAGTGATATTGCAGAAGGTCTTGATGGTAAGGTATGTCTTTTTGCTGATGATACTAAGATATGTAACAGGGTTGATGTTCCAGGAGGGATAAGCCAAATGGCAAATGATTTAGGTAAACTAGAAAAATTGTCAGAATTGTGGCAACTGACATTTAATGTGGAAAAGTGCAAGATAAAAATCCAAGGGCAGAGTACAGAATATTTGATAGAGTCCTAACCTCAACATCTGAGGAAAAGGATTTAGGGGTGATTATTTCTGATGACTTAAAGGTAGGCAGACAATGTAATAGAGGAGCAGGAAATGCTAGTGGAATGCTTGGTTGTATAGGGAGAGGTATTAGCAGTAGAAAGAGGGCAGTGCTCATGCCATTGTACAGAACACTAGTGAGATCTCACTTGGAGTATTGTACGCAGTACTAGAGACTGTATCTTCAGAAGGATATTGATACCTTAGAGAGTTCAGAGAAAGGCTGGCTACTAAACTGGTTCATGGATTGCAGGATAAAACTTACAAGGAAAGGTTAAAGGAACTTAACATGTATAGCTTGGAGGAAAGACGAGACGGGGGGATATGATAGAAACATTTAAATACATAAAGGGAATCAACACAGTAAAGGAGGAGACTATATTTAAAAGAAGAAAAACTACCACAACAATAGGACATAGTCTTAAATTACAAAGGTTTAAAAATAATATCAGGAAGTATTACTTTACTGAGAGGGTAGTGGATGCATGGAATAGCCTTCCACCTGAAGTGGTAAGAGGTTAACACAGTAAAGGAGTTTAAGCATGAGTGGGATAGGCATAAGGCTATCCTAACTATAAGATAAGGCTAGGGACTAATGAAAGTATTCAGAAAATTGGGCAGACTGGATGGGCCGAATGGTTCTTATCTGCCGTCACATTCTATGTTTCTATATGCTGAACGTCAAAGAACGCTGTAACAGCGTTAAATGGTTAAGCTGTAGCTGTTCTGGTTACTACATTGGCCTTTTAAATCAGATTTAGAAAAAGAATCATGAAATATAAAAATGCTAAGCAGATTTCCCCCATCTGTCTCACATTTTCTTTACAAGCTTTAAGAGATAATACACTTTTACTGATGAGTCACTCTGACTCTATGTAAAAAAAAAAAAAAAGAATGTGACCCTTAACCCCTTCAGCACCGAGGACGGTTCAGGACCGTCATCGGCATTTTTGCATTGCCGACCGGTGACGGTCCTGAACCATCCAAACGGTCCAATGTACTTACCCGATTGCCGTTGCTCCCGTTGTGGGGAGACTGCCTGGAGCACAGAGCGATTACATAGTCACAATAGGTGTCCATGTGTATGCCTGCAGGGGGACTGCCTGTGCTGACAGGCAGTCTCCCTGCTAGTGTAAAATCATAAAGTTAAAGTTAATAAAAAATGTTTTATATATGTGTGTATATATATATATATATGATATATAGACTTATATTATATCTATATAATATATGTCTATATATAATATATATAATGTCATACTAAGTGTATTTTTATATTAATATGTACATATATTAATATAAAAATACACTTATAATTAAATTACACACGTATAAATATAATATATATAATAACTATATATATTGTATATAAATATTATTATAAAATACAAAATAATAAGTAATTTAAATTAAATAAAGACATGTAAAAATAATAAAAATTTTAAAATATATATATATATCTATATGAAATGTTATTCTAACTGTATTTTGATAGTTTTATATATATATATATATATATATTTATATCAAAATACACTTAGAATGAAATTGTACAAAATATACATATGTCCATATACAAAATTACATAAATAATTAAATATACACGTAGACTTCAAATATATAAATATGTATTTGTATTTAAATTCTACGTGTGTATTTATGTAATATTTTTGCATAATGAAGTAATTTTATTGATTGCAATTTGAGGGACCTGCCTGCCAACCCGGGCCAAAAGTCCAGAGAATTTAATTTGCTAGCACTATATTTTACCTTGTAACTTTCTATGACACCCTAAAACCTGTACATCGGGGTTCCTTTTTACTCGGGAGACTTCACTGAACATAAATATTAGTGATTCAAAACAGTAAAACATATCACAGTGATGATATTGTCAGTAAAAGTTACTTTTTTTTTCATTTTTCACACACAAACAGCACTTTTACTGATGATATAATTGTTGTGATACGTTTTCCTGTTTTGAAACACTAATATTTGTGTTCAGCAAAGTCTCCCGAGTATAACAGTGCCCCCCATGTACAGGTTTTATATCGTTTTTGAAAGTTACAGGGTCAAATATATGGGTCAAATATTTTTACATTGAAAAAGGCCATGTTGGTTACGTTGCCTTTGAGAGCGTATGGTAGCCCAGGAATGAGAATTACCCCCATGATGGCATTCCATTTGCAAAAGAAGACAACCCAAAGTATTGCAAATGGGGTATGTCCAGTCTTTTTTAGTAGCCACTTAGTCACAAACACTGGCCAAAATTAGTGTTCAATTTAGTTTTTTACTTTTTTCACACACAAACAAATATGAATGCTAATTTTGGCCAGTGTTTTCGACTAAGTGGCTACTAAAAAAGACTGGGCATACCCCATATTAAATACCCTGGGTTGTCTACTTTAAAAAAATATGTACATGTGGGGTGTTATTCAGAGATTTATGACAGATAATAATTTTACAATGTCACTATTAATACATTTTTAAATTATATGTTTTGAAACCGCAAACTTATACCTATAGCCCTATAACTTGCAAAAAAGCACGTAAACACTGGGTATTTTTAAACTCAGGACAACATTTTGAATCTATTTAGCAGTTTTTTTCATTCGCTTTTGTAGATGAGCAAAAGATTTTTCAAGTAAAAGTAAAAAAAAAAATGTATTTTTTTCAAATTTTCATCATATTTTCTTATTTTCTTTTAATTAAATTACATGAGATTATATAAATAATGGTATGTAAAGAAAGCCCCTTTTGTCCTCCTGAGAAAAACAACATATAATTTGTATGGGAACAGTAAATGAGAGAGCGGAAAATGACAGCTAAACACAAACACCACAAAAGTGTAAAAAGAGGCCTGGTCGCAAATGTACAACATCGCAAAAACAGTCCAGTCCATAAGGGGTTAAACTATGTGGAAGGGATTAAGTCCTAGAAAATACAAGTCCTTTGTCTAAGCTCTTGTTTAATGAATAGATCTCTTGAAATAGAAGCCAGCGTCCTGAAGGCCTCAACAATTCATAGGACACCCAATACTATGTGGCCTCTGTTTGTTAATCAATACTGCATCATTGCTTGGATTAGTGTGCTTGATAAATTATTCTTCCCACAAATCACAGATATTATGGAAATAGGTTTTGTCATTCATAGTTTCTATTCAGCCCACTTTTTCATGCAACCATTTTGCAATCAGTCTCTCTGTCTCTGACATTTGCAATAATATTTTTTTCTTTGCTTTCTCCATTTGTAGCATTTTTAGTGTGAATTGCTATTAAAAAAAAGATTAATGCTGCAATAGCAGGTGATGGCAGCAGTATCAAATTTGGTATTTTGGCTGCCTGTTTTAACTAACTGTTTTCTAACTTTAGAGAAAATGCATTTAACTCCTTACTTAAAGAAGGGAAACACTGTTGCAAAGTAATTTCATGATACTATAGCAGTGAACATGAAATGGAATTTTAACAGTGATTGCTACCATTAAAGGATCACTATAGTGTCAGGAAAACAAACTCATTTTCCTGACTCTATATCATCCTTGGGGGATCCTGACCCTCAGGGTCCCCCTCTCGCTGGACTGAAGGGGTTACAACCCCTTCAGCAGTTTACCTTAATCCAGCACTGGGCTCCCTCTGCGCTGGTGACCTCTAATTCCCCGCCGACATCAGCTCCCAAACAGTCCATAGGAAAGCATTTCTTTTAATGCTTTCTTATGGACATTCTGCACATTGGATGCGAATTTCGCATCCAACGTCTCAGAAGCGCCTCTAGTGGCTGTCTCTGAAACTGCTATGTTTACAAGTGAAGGGTTAAAACCTGAGGGACCTGGTGCCCAGACCACTTCATTGAGTTGAAGTGGTCTGGGTGACTATAGTGTCCCTTTAAATAAACATTGGGAAATATGGTTTGGTTTTTTTTTAAGTGTTTTGCTAAACATTAGGCTATTTCTTTCTGGCGCTTTTCCTATTTGACATTCCATTTTATTCCCATATTTGTTCCAAAATATACCGTACTTCGCCTTTTCTGACATTTTATTTTCCGATTCCAATTTGGTTCTTTTATTCGGTTCACAAATATGTTTATAATGTATAAGAAAGAGGAGCTTGCGCATGCCTTTTTTACCAGTGAAAAATTTCCCAGCACTATCATAGTGGCCAATCTTTGGGTGACAGTTAAGCTAATGTCACTTTCTTCCTTTTTTGTGTAAATATTATTTAAAAAATCTTAAAATTGCGAATGTCTTTTATTTCCCTGGACACAATACTTTTTTTTTATCTTGTGAATATAATCATTGATAAAATCATCAGAAAAACAGAGCAAATAATCCAAAAGAGGAATGGACAGTAGCAGAAGGAAGTATTATTATTGCTGTACATTTCAGAAAAAGCAGAATGAAATTATTTACATGTGTATAAAAATTGGAGTAACAGTTTTATAAAATAATGTATAAATTGATCCCTATAGAGCAGCGTTTCCCAATTGGTGTGGTTCCGCGAGAACACAAATGGGGTCCCGCGAAATTTCTGAAAACAAAATGGCCATGGGCAGTGAGGGAGCAGTGGACAGTGATCTCCCTGCTCAGCTCCCTCGCGCACAAAGCAGTGATGCCGGAGCTGGAATATGACGGCACTCCGGCTCCACTAAGAGGCGCGTGAGGGAGCTGAGCAGGTAGATCGCCCGCACACCAGCCGCTCAGCAGCCCCACTCGACCCCAGGGACTACACGCAAGCCACTCAGAAGCCCCACTGGAGTTTGTATGTGTTTGTGTGTCTGTCAAAGAGTGTATGTGTGCTTGTCAGTGAGCGTGTGTGTGTGTGTGTGTGTATATATGTTTGTCAGTGAGAATATGTATGTGTGCTTGTCAGTGAGAGTGTATATGTGTTTGTGTATCTGTAAAAGAGTATGTGTGTTTGTCAGTGAGAGTGTATGTGTGTCTGTCAAAGAATATGTGTGTCAGTGTGTGTATTTGTGTGTCAAGGTTTGTATATGTGTCACTGTGTGTATCTGAGTGTGTGTGTGTGTATGTCAGTATGTGTGTGTATGTACCAGTGTGTGTGTCTGTGGGTGCAAGTGTGTGTATATGTCACTGTGTGTATCTGAGTGTGTGTGTATTTGTGAGTCAAGATGTGTGTATGTGTCACTGTGTGCATCTGAGTGTGTGTATGTGTATCTGAGTGTGTGTATCTGTGTGTCAGATACATACATATACACACACACACAGATACACACTGACACAGAAATACACACACTGGCACATACAAACAAAGATACACACACCAACACGTTCAAACACAGATGCATACACACACCTTGACACACAGATACATACACACACACAGATACACACTGTGTGTCAATGTGTGTATCTGTGTGCCAGTGTGTGTGTATCTGTATGTCAGATGCGTACACACTGGCACATACAAACACAGATATACACACCTTGATACACTGACACATACAAACACAGATACACACACTTTGACACAGATACACACACCTTGACACACAGATACATTCACATACACGCTGTGTGTCAAGGTGTGTGTATCTGTGTGTCAGTGTGTGTATCTGTGTGTCACTATGTGCCAGTGTGTGTGTGTGTTTCAGATACATACACAGATACACATTGACACACACACACTGGCACATACAAACACAGATACACACACCTTGACACACAGACACACACCAGCACATACAAAAAAACAGTGCAATTATTTATTTTTATATTTTACCGGTCGTGTATCTGTGTGTGTGTGTGTGTATGTATGTATCTGTGTGTCAAAGTGTGTGTATCTGTGTTTGTATGTGTCTGTGTATCAAGGTGTGTGTATCTGTGTTTGCATGGGCCAATGTGTATGAATCTGACACACAGATACACACACACTGGCACATAGTGGCACAGATACACACACAGATACACACACCTTGACACACAAAAGGCATCATGTGACAGCAAAGTCACCCCAAAATGGAAATAAGTTACATTTCACTTCCACTGTTTTGTTCAAACCAGTGTATGCTGAAGTAGTGTTTACTGGGGTCTTTAATTAGCCTTCAACTGCTGTTGCTTTTATTGTTCTTGAAAAAGAGACAATAGTAGCAGATACGTATATCTCCCTTAACCTTTTCCATACCACAGGAGCCAAAAAGCAGTGAACATGACACTTGAAAAGGAAAAAAGAGTAAGGCTCCGTTAAAAGGGAGATAACTTGAGATATGAAGGTTTAATATAGGAGCCAAAGCCCGGGACTGAGGTGCCGTCAGGCCTGCGTGTCAGCTCCATCTGACACACGGCCAGCTCCCCCTGTAGTATCCAGTACAACCCCCGGCCTTGGATGGCGGGTGAGAGAAGACAGGTGGCGCTTCCAGTACAGCCAGAGGCATCTGGTAGGCCTTCCCGGACGCCACGTGGTCGGCACACCGGCGGATCCAGACCCGGGCCAGTGGTGGTGAGCAGGCCCCGCCGGGCATGGCTGTGCTGCCGTTGGGGGGTCCTCCCCGGGCTCTGGTGGCTCCTCTGGGGATGAGGGTCAGCCGGGGGGTCCCCCTCTCCACCCCTGGGTTCTGCCCAAGGTTCCCTGCTCCCTCCCCCCGTGTTTTCATCCGTTATTGCCCCCCCTCCTCCCTTGTCCCTTTGGTCCTGGGTCCTCTCTCTTCCCCCTTTTCTAGTGCTCTCTCTGTTCCCCTCCCCCCCGTTCTGTCCCCCCTGTGTCTGTCTCTGGTCCCTATGTCCCCTCCTCTTTCCCCTGGGTACTTACTACGGCTGCCCTTCTCGGCAGGGTCTGAGCTTACCTCATCTCTACTGCTCTTCTCTCAGGATATGGCTGCTGTTCCCGGGACTGTCCAGCAGGTGGCGCCTGGAACTGCTGCAAGGCTGAACAGTGCTGAAAATTAAATTAACTCTGTCCTGCCTGGATCGTCTTTGTTTCCTTTGTCACCAGAGGTTCCTCGGGCATCGGCTGGTGAGTACAATAATGTTTCTTCTTTTCAGTCTGGGGGTTCCTCACTGGTGGGGTTCCTGTCAGGGCTTAGAGGTTTTCTGGATCAGTGGGAACAGGGTGCTTGGGAGATCCTTGCCATTGGGTGATCCCCGGGGTGTTGCTGACGTTGCGCGTGGGTCTGCCTATATGTCGGGGCCCTTGGGCTTGCACCCAAAACATGAGGCTCGGGAAAAACTATGGAGGGGAGAATTTTTTCCCTCCGCCCTATGGAAGAGGCTCCTCCTTTGGTGGAAAAGGACAGGAAAGAAATGAGAAATACCAGTACCAGAAGATCCCTAAGACTTTCGGGAATTGGATTCGCAATTTGCGATCCTGGCCAGTGTCAGGGGAAAAGGCTCCACAGAAGTGCTCCACATTGTTCTGCTACCAGGATACCAATTGGAACGCTTGTCGTACCTATGGCGGTCTGGGGTTGTGGAAATATGGCGAGCAATTCCGTCAGCGGTTGGAGGTGCGCCCCTCAATTTCGTGGAACCAGATGGAAATTGGCCTCTGGCTCTCCATTATGACTCGCCCGGCCCCCCAGCAGGGTGGGTTCCCGTCCTTTCTCGGGAGGGCCGGTGGGTCCTTCTCCTCACCAGCCAGGCATCAGAGGCCGGGCTGTTGTTGGAAATTCAATGACAGTCACTGCAAGTGGGGTAATCCTGCTGGTTCAAGCATGAATGTTCAACCTGCGGGGGAGCCCATCCTGTCTCCCGCTGCTTCAAGCGGGGTAAAGTTGTCGAGAAGGGGGATTTGGGGTCAAAAGGCGACGATGCCAATGGTCGTAAGCAGTTATAGGAATCGGCCGACATCCTACTGGACGGGTGTAAGCATGGGTTTTGGATTCCTTTCACCTGTTGCCCCCCTTCCCCTTTGGTTTGGAACCTTCGGTCGGTCCGTGAGTTCCCACAGGTGGTTGGGAAAAAGCTAGGTAAGGAGGTGTCGTTGGGTCGGATGGCTGGTCCCTTTCGGGACCCCCCGTTACCAGACTTGCGGGTCTCCCCCCTGGGTATGGTGCCCAAAAAGCAGGGAAAATACCGTCTGAGTCACCATTTATGGTACCCCCAGCCGGGCTCCCTCGGCGCTGGGGAACTCTCCTCCCTCTTCCGACGTCATCCCTGAATGCTCATGCGCGGCAAGAGCCACACGGGCATTCACTCAGTCCATAGGAAAGCATTTCTCAATGCTTTCCTATGGACGTCAGCGTCTTCTCACTGTGATTTTCAGTGAGACAGCCACTACAGGTTGGATTAACCCTAGTGTAAACATAGCAGTTCCTCTAAAACTGCTATGTTTACAGCGGCAGGGTTAACACTAGATGGACCTGGCACCCAGACCACTTCATTGAGCTGAAATGGTCTGGGTGCCTATAGTGGTCCTTTAACTATATCATGCTATGTTCTTTTTATTTACTATCCTTTACGTATATCAGCTGAATCCCACGTGTATTGTGTTTTGTTACTTGTAATTACAAAAATAAAATAAAATGAAATAATTTACATATATGATGCACTCTGTAAATCAAGACAAGTAAATCGATTTATTTTGAATTACTTTTCTTAAGAGGAACTAATTATGCACACGTTATTTTTTGTTTTTCATTTTTGTGTATTTTGTTTATAACAAATAAGTTATATAGGTTTATACTATATCAAATTAAAGCTCTTTTTGTCCTTTACAAAATGGTATATGATATGTGTTGGTGCAATACATGAGAATGCTGAGAGTTGTGGATGAACAAACTTTGCTTCGGTCCTTAAATTGTAAAAAAAAAAAAAAAGGACTTTGTGTCGTTTTGAGATTATGTAAGATCTCTAGTATTTGATTGGCTGTACTTATATCTGCCCCCATGTATTATGCTGCTACATAGCAGGCGTCTCCTAGACAAAGTTTATTTACAGCTTTCTCTCTGCAAAGAAGAGCCTGCACAGTGAGTCTTTTGTCTGCCTTACCATTTTACTACCATTTATGTTAATCTCAAAGGTCAGGATTTGGTTAATTCTGCAGAAATCACCAGTCAGGTGACCTTGGTTGTGAAATGCTGACCATTTAAGAAAATATTTTTCTTTTGTTACTTAATCTGTTTTTTGGGGTTTTTTCTCTCGTTCTAATTCATTTTTGCAGTGCATTGCAGGTATACAGTCATTCAGCAGAATATATGATGTGCACAAGATTACAGACGTGTTATACATAACAGGAGATATGCACTATTTTTATGGTAAACAATAGTAACAAGTTAAGAAGTTAAGTAATAAGTTAAGAAGAATATCAGAGTAAAGTATGATTCGTCATAGGGTACAAGTGAGTGATAACCTAAACTGACAATTCTTCATGTGGGAGATAGGTAGTTGTATGTTCCAGAGGTAAACCCCGTTTTCTACCAGGCAAAGTACATGGTAGTTAATGTATATATTATTGTAAGGTCATGCCATGGCAAGTTAAAGGTCTAGGATGCTGGCTGTAAAGTAGCCGTATTAGTAGTACACAGATAGAGTATGCTTATACAAGTAGTTGCCACTAAGGTGTAGTGAACGGGAGAGTGTGCATCCAGGTTACGTACCCCTAACCAAGGGGGCTGCGGTGGGGAGGGGGTGTATCACGCCATATGGTAGAGGTGGTAGGCCTTAGACTTCCCTGAAGGCTGTTGCATTACTTACAGGTAAACGCCTGATTCGAACTATGTTCTCCTTGAGCTGTAGTATGTGTGTGTAACTCTCCACCTGTAATAAACATTATTAAAAACAAAATGAGAAAGAAAAAGATAAACTAATGCCAACGTAAATAAACCATATTGAGACTTTAGATATTGTGGCTACACCGCCCTATCTTGTTCTTTCAATTGTTGCGGATCCAGTAAACCGGTTGCAGTCCGGTTCATGGTACCAATGCTTGTAATCCTCTTGTCCTAGGGACTAAGGGGGTGATGCTGTCAAGGTCCCAAGATGTTCCTGGAAGCGCGTCGCTTGTGGTTGCATTTGGTAGGGACAGTCCCAATTTCGTTAGGAAAGATGATGCGTCTGCCATCGAAGTGAGAACGTGTGCCGACCCAGAGTGAGTCACTGTCAGAGAGCTGTTAGGTCCCCATCTGTAAGCAATGCCCACTGCTCGCAATTGAGATGTTACAGTTGTAAGATTTTCGCCACATGAGAGTGGCTTTGGTGAGATCCTGGTAAAAGGTGAGAGTAGAATCTTCAAATGTAAGAGGTGTTTTGCCTTTTGGGCAGTCATGATGTGGATCTTGTCTTGCACTGAGACGCATCAGAGTATAACATCTCTGTTCATGTTTAGCTTTGCGTGGAGGTGCTGGGAATGCGGTAGATTCTGTCAATTGTGAGTGTCCTCTCCATTGCTTGGGGCATAATGGTGGCTAGTAGGCGTCTGAGATAATGTGGTAATTCATGCGCCGTTATAGTATTGGGGACATCATGTATTTTAATGTGAGAGCGGCGTTGGTGATTTTCTATGGACGTAAATTTAACTCATAGGGCCCTGTGTTGGGTCTGGATTTGGTGCACTGAGTCATTGAGGGTGGCCAGGGTAGTATGTATATCGGCAATGTCCTCTTCCGAGGCCCTTACCCTCTATGTGACAGCCTGCACTTCAGTCTTGAGCAGAGCAGAATCCGCCGCCAGTAGTTTATGGATGTCCGCTATTAGGATCTGCAGGTCATGTTTAGTAGTAGGAGCTGAGTCATCTAAGGGGTCAGCAGGTGAGATTTGCTCTGTCTCCGGCTCCTTGCGTCCCGCTATGGGAGCTGGGTCAGGCTCGGACGGGTCTGTTGCTGGTGCTGGTTTGTGCTGTGCAGATGTCTGCAATAGCCCCTATGTCCCTGCAGTCAGCCATGGGCTTTTGAGATCGGAGCCCCATAGTTGCCCTGTCGTCCTGCGTGGGAGTCAATGTGGGAGGTGAAGCAACCCAGACACTCTCCACAGTAGTTCAGCCGAGGAATACCTCAAAATACTGGAGCCGCGGTGTGAGGTAGGCAGCAGATTTGCACCGCCGTTTAGGCTGTTTTTAGGTGATAAAGAATGGCATCTATTGATGCAGCTAAG